AAGAAATTTCAGCTAACTGGAAGTTTAGTTTGTAGGAATTTCACGGAATTGCAAATAGAAAGTTGGTTGCAACATAATCCCTAAAGGAAAAGAAACATAATTTCATGGGAAAGGTCATATTAACTTGCAGCACTTACAGTAAGCAAACCCAAGCACACCACCATGAAAATAATTGCAAACTATGAGCCAACAACCATTTTGGGGGAAGAAGTCTAGACAGTCTGCGAAGAATTTAACAAGAAGTGATCAGTGACTTCAATATGAAAGTGGATGCAGGAGAGAACACTTAAAATGTTGGTTTAGTATTAAGAAAATTGTGATAATTGTGTAGAGGCAGCATGGTGTCAGAAACGAATGGAAGTATGTAAATACAAAAAAACCCCCAAAACAATAAGTATATGAGAGAGGCATGGTGTCCAGGGAGAAAAAGGAATAGGTTTTTACAGATTAAAAGGAAGTTCTACCTTCACATAGGGTTGGGGGCTTGAGGTCCAAGATTCATACAGTGAGTTTGCAGTGACATGTAGATTGACTAATGAGGTTTGGTCATGTTCTGCTGTATGAAAATGAATGACTGAGACAGGACCAAATACTTACAGTATTGCAATAGCAAAGTGCCATAGCCACTGCCTTTATCTTGTCTGGCCACATTCATCTTGAAGTGTAACTCTTCCATCCCTAGTGAAAATATTGGCTTCAGAATCAAGAAGACGTTGTTTAAAGTCTGGCCCGACTCAGGCTGGCTGTGTGACACTGGGCAAGTCACTCAACCTTTCCATTAATTCTAGAACATTTTGGCTGCTTTTTCCTTCATAATCTATCTTAACTATAGTCACATCCATGCCTAATAAATGTAAAATTTGGGGCAGCATTCCTTTCAAGAAGATTTCTGACTGTTCCTTTATAAGCTGCAGGATTGAGAAAGTTGCCTTCTTCACTTGTGCTTGGAAGGAATGAGTTGATAGAGTGCCTCAGATAAATCTGTGAGATTTACAGGACAACTGCTGCTATGTCTTGGTAGAGGGCATTTCCTCATTTGGGAGTTCCCTATGGCAATAAAACCATAGGTCCAGACCCTCTCTTCTCCCTCCACCAAAAAGAAATTATAATTGTAATTCAGAAAAGGAGTTATTGCTCATTTTGTATGTTGCTATCTCTATTGGTTGTCTACTATAAATCTATCCTGCTTCTTTTTTTTTTATACATCCAGGAAGATTTCATAGTTTGAGGTTTTGAATACTCACTCAATTTGAATTCATTTGAATACTCATCCAATCCAATCCAAAAAGCCAGTGCCTAGAGCAGCCAATGTTTCAAGTCACACAGCTCAAAGATATTAGGGAGTCTAGTTTACTTCCTGTATTTTGCCCATTAATTGATAACTTGTCATATCTCATGCAAATGGCATCCTATTTGGTTACTATAAAATCTTGACTCATTGTGTCTCAGCCACAAGTCCATGAGCTCATCATATTGACCTGCTAGTGGCTGTTTCAGTACAAATCTATTACACAGTAACCTTCCAATCAGCATTAAAATTTGACCATGAGGACCCAAAACATGACCTTCTTTTCTCAAGAAAAGAAACAATACAACTTACCAGAACTGCTTAGCCTTAGTTTGGAATGTATTCCCTTTTCTCCTTTACCTCTTAGAATCCCTTCTTCTATTCAAAACTCAGTTCAAACACTACCTCCAATATGAGACCTTTTTTCATCTCCCAGAAGCTAGTGCCTCCCCTAGAAAAGTACTTACATTTATTTTGTATTTATAAGTATGTGTGCAAATTGTCTCTTTCAATAGAATACCAGCTACCTGGGGACAGGGAATCTTTCATTTTTGTCTTTGATCTTCTACAGTCCAGCTCATAGTAGGTACTTAATAAACATTTGATGATCGATTGATAGAGGAGAAGGGATACAGATCAGAACATGATGTCAGATTCAATATATCTTAGTAGTGTCCTCAGGCTTAGAGATGTTTTGCTTTATTTTGTTTCTACTTCAATTCCCTGGTCATCAGTGGTAGCCTTTCCACCATAGGCCTCATTCTCTTAGGCCTAGAAATTCCGTGTAACTTGCTAAAGGGGATATGGGATATGGTTCTTGCCACCTCATTTCAAGGGGTTTCTACCAAAGAAACCATTCAGATCTCTGTGGTCTGACACTAAGATTTTAAAGGATTATGCCTGCCCTATGAATGAGTCTGATCAAAAACAGAAGTTCAGATCACAGAAAAAAATCATAGACTTCTTACTACCAAATCTCATACTTATCTTCCTAATGTTATATTGTAGGCTATGACCCTCTCAGGTTCTGAACCTCTCAATATTATCACTATTGGCAGGGGCTCTGGCTCTAAACTAATTAGCTTTAAATTGAGCTACCTAACTCTGGGAAAAATTGGCCATAGTCGGTCCTAAGCAACTGCCTGAAAAGCCTACACAATGGTTCCCCATTCCCCATCCATTAGCATAAACTTGTTAGCATGGCTTTCTTGTCTCTAGCTATTCGGCATGTGGTGTAAGGGAGGTCCCTTTATTTCTGAGGTCAATGAGAATACATGTCTAGGTGTGCCTCTGACAACAACCCCTTCCATTACTGCACGTTTCTTCACTCTTTGGAGGCATCTATTCCTATTTTGCTTTGCTAGAGCTCTTTATAAGCTCCTCTTGGAAATTCTTCAGTCAAAGCTGTGTAACAAGCCTAATACTTACATCTCTAAAGCATCCTTACCATGGCAACTGCAATAATCTTCCTAAGGCACATGTCTGGCCATTGAAGTCCCTTGCTTTAAAATAAACAAGCAAAAAACTTTCAGTTGTTCCCTATTGCCTCTGAAATCCAACATAAAGTCATTAGCCTGACAAATAGCATTTTCCGCAGTCTAGCTCCAACTCAATTCTCTAATCTTTTTTTCATGTTGCTTCCCTTCCTGTACTCTCCATTCTTATCCAAGTGGATTATTAGCTGTTCCCCAAACATGATCCTCTGTTTTCTTCTACATTTATTCAAAGGCCTAGAATGTTTTTTCTCCTGAATTCTACCTCTTAGAATCCTTATCTTCAAGTTTCAGTTCAGTTCTCACTTCCTTCATGAAGTGTTCCCAGATCCCCACATTTTCAAGTTACCTCTCATGCCTCAATTTATCTTACACTCTACTTATTCATGTCTGCTGTATCTGTTGTGTCTCACCCTACAGGCCCCCGTCCCCTACCTAGAATGTAAACTCTATGAGGGCAGGGGCTGTTTCATATTTATCTTGTAACCTGGCACAGAACAGAGACTTGATACTTTTTTGATTAAATTGAATATTTATTTGTATCTTGTTTCATTAGGTGAATATGGACACCAATATTCTCCTTTGTTTTTCCTGAAGTCTTCATTTTGGAAACCTCACCCCAGGGCTGGTCATCAGATGCTGGAGAATGAGACTATCTCTACATATTGCTCTGACTCTTTTGAACCAGTACCTCCAGAATTTCATGGGAAAGAAGCTATTAGGTAATTAATTGTCTTAGTGTACAAAAATGACAAGTGACAGGCTAATTCAGATGGTCAAGTGTGCAAAGTAGGTAAAGCTTATAAGACTATGAGTCTTTCCTTTTTTATGATAACCCTTGGACCTCACCCCGTCAATTTCCCCCAAACACACACACACATTCACACACACACACACACACACACACACACACACACACACACACGCACGCACGCACCTATTTTAAATGAACACTTCCATTAAAAAATTTCATGTATAGGAAGATTTTCAATATTTACCTTTACTTGAGGTATGTAGTCAATCTTCAAGCACGACTTTCCTCATGCCTTTGTTATGCCTCTTTGTTTCCTCTTATTTTTTAACAACCCTACCTTATAGTCTGTTCTCTTCTGTCTTTATCTCCTTCCATTTTTCTCTTCTGAGATGGAAGGAACACAGTAAAAAGAGAGAGAAAAAGAGAAATAAGGGAAATGCAGCAAGGTTCACCGTGCCTTGGATATTTGGATTTTTATCTTGTATTTCTCTGAAGCAGGTATTTCAGTACATTTCATTCATTTGTGATTTAAGAGGGTGGGTATACCTCCTCCTCAGGAGAAAGGACTAACTTGATCCTTCATAGCCCGTCGTTCTGCTAAGAATCTGCTTGCTCTCCTATACTTAGTGCTAAAATCAAACAGCCACTTATTAAGCAATAGTGGTGAGGGCAAAGTCAAAATGGCAGAATAGAGACTGAAACCTACCAAACTCTTTCAACATTCCCCTCCAAACAACTTTAAAGTAATATGTTAAATCAAATTCAGGAATGGTATAGGAAACAAAAAGTTGAAGTGAGATATTTTTTCCAGCCCAAGAGAATTTAGAGGATTGGCAAAAGAGGTCTGTGATACTGGAGTGAGGGCCAGCCTGGAATGTGCCTGGTGGCAACAACACCAGCAGACCTTGGAAGCCATGACAGTGTCAGCAGCAGATTCAGGAACTCTCAGCCCAGAGATGCTCCAGGGCAGAAAAGAACATTGGTGCTTGCAGCTGCAGGGGAGCAGAGAGCTTCTTGGGTAAAGACCAGATCATGGACCAGGAAAGCAGTGACCACACTTTTCTCAGGATCTTGCTACCTTGGAAGCACAAAAAGTTTGCAGACCCCCAGAACTAGCTCTGAAAACAGCAGTGAGAAAAAGTATGAAGATTGCAATAGTTTCTTCCCAGCACAGGTGGGCAGTATACAACTTTAACATAAAGTTCAAAAACAAGAAATAGACTGGGAAAATGAGCAAACAATGAAAAAGGAAGCTTCCATAAAAAGATATTGTGGTGACACTGATGATTAAGACACAAACTCAGAGAACACAACAATAAGAAAACATCTATAAGCAAAGCCTCAAGAAAAAATGCCAGTTGACACAATTCCAATAAGAATTCCAGGACAAACTAAAGAAAGCAATAAGAATGAAAAAAATAATTCCATAAAATTAGAATTGGGCAAGTGGAAACTAATGATTCCATGAGACATCAATAAACAATAAAACAAAGTCAAAAGAATTAACTACAAAGTACATATGAAGGACGACTCTATCTGCATCCAGAGAAATAACTGATAAATAAAAGCATGTGTAGAATGATTTTATGCATATATAAATATTTGTGTCTAATGATAGCCATCTCTACGGTTGGAGGGGGAAAGGAAGAAAAAAAGGGAAAAGAGAATTTACATTTATATGATAACTTTATTATATATTTTAAAGGAATAAGAAGTTGTACATAATAGACTTGTAATTTCATAGGCAGTCATCTTTTTTTATTCTACTATGTTATGGAAATGCTTGTTTTATTTCATAAATTAAAATGAAATAAATAAAAATTTAAAAAAAGAACTAAAAATGGAAGAAAATATGAAATATCTCATTGGAAAAAAAATTGACCTGAAAAATAGATCAAGAAGAGATAATTTAAGAATTATTCAACTACTCAGAAGCCATGTTTTTAAAAAGATCCTAAATATCATATTTTCAAGAAATTATGAAGGAAAACTGCCCAATATCCTAAATCTGTAGGTTAAAAAAGAAATTAAAAGAATTCACTGATTACCTCCTGAAAGAGATCTCAAAATGAAAACTCCCAGGAATATTATAGCAAAATTGTGAGCTTCCAGGTCAAGGATACATGATTGCAAGCAGCCAGAAAGAAAATATTCAAATACTGTGAGATCACAGTTAAGATCAAACAAGATTTAATGGCTTCTATGCTAAAGGAGCAGAGGGCTTGGAATATGATAGGCAAAAGACTTATGATTACAACCAAGAATAACCTACTCAGCAAAACTGAGTACAATTTTCTGGGAGGAAAATAGATATTTAATGAAATAGAGGACTTTCAAGCATTCCTGATGAAAAGACCAGAGGTATATAGAAAATTTGATATTTGAATACAAGACTCAAGATAAGTATAAAAAGGTAACATGAAATAAAAATTGCAAAGGATTAAGATTAAACTGCTTACATTACTACATGGGAAGATGATCACGTAATGAGTAAGATGATAATGTAACTCTTAAGAATTTTATTGTTCTTAGGGAAGTTAGAAGTCTACATAGAGAAGACAGATGTGAGTTGATTATATTGGGATGATCTCAAAAAATGAAGAGTTGAGAAATAAGAATACATTGGGAGAAGGGGAAAGGGAGAGGTAGAATGGCAAGAATTATCTCAGATATAATCGTACAGGGAAGAGCTTTTACAGTGAAGGGGAAAATGGAGGGGTTAACAAGCAACACTTGAACCTCACTGTCATTGGAATTAGTTCAAAGAAGGAAATATATCTATGTATGTATTTTACACACGTGTGTGTGTGGTGTGGGTGTGTGTGTTTATGCAAAAGAAACAGACAGGCAGACAGACAGGTGGGTAAAAAAAATCTATCTTACCCAACAGGGAAGCAGATGGAGAAGTGATAACAGAAAGAGTGTGTGTGTGTGTGTGTGTGTGTGTGTGTGTGTGTGTGTGTGTGTGTTTGATAAAAGGGAAGCCAGATTAAAGGAGGCAGTGGACAGAAGCAAAACAGACTTCTGAGGAGGAATAGGGTAAAATGAGAGATAAATTGATAAACAGAAGAAAATAAGATGGAAAAAAATACACAATAATCATAACTGGGAATGGGAATGGGATGAAATCATCCATAAAACAGAAACAGATAACAGAATGGATTAAAAATAAGAATACAACAATATATTATTTATAAGAAACATACTTGAAACAGAATGACATGCATAGAGTTAAAAGAAGGGGCTATAGCAGAATCTATTATGCTTTAGCTGAGGTAAAAAAGGCAAGGGCAGGGGCAGCTAGGTGGCACAGTGGATAGAGCACCGGCCCTGGAGTCAAGAGGACTTGAGTTCAAATCCGGCCCCAGACACATAACACTTACTAGCTGTGTGGCCTTGGGTGAGTCACTTAACCCCATTGCCTAGCCAAAAAAGAAAAAAAAGAAAAAGGCAAGGGCAGCCATCACGATCTCGGAAAAAGCAAAAGCTAAAATAGACTAATTAAAAGAGATAATCACGGAAATTATATTTTGCTAAAAGGTGCAATAAACAATAAAGCAATATAACTACTAAATACATATATGCACCAAATGGCAGAGCATCTGAATTCTTAAGGGCACAAACAAATCAATGCAGCCAAAATGAGAAGGAAAACAGGAAACTGGAGGTGGGGCATGGGCAGGGAATCTAAAGCAAGTTTCTCTGATAAAAGCCTTATTTCTCAAATATATAGGGAATTAAGTCAAATTTATAAAAATGAAAGTCGTTCCCCAATTCATAAATGGTCAAAGTTTATGACAAGGCAATTTTTGGAAATGAGACATTCTGGAAGGGATGTGGGAAAATAATGCATTGTTGGTTGAGTTGTGAACTAGTCCAACCATTCTGCAGAATAATTTGCAACTATTACCTAAGGGTAATAAAATTGTGTACATCTTTTGACCCAACAATACCACTTTTAGCTCTGTTTCCCGAAGAAATCAAAGGAAGAGGAAAAGAACCTATATGCACAAAAATATTTATAGCAGCTCTTTTTATGGTGGCAAAGAACTGGAAATTGAGAGGATGCCCATCAATTGTGGAATGGCTGAACAAGTTGTGATATATGATTGTGATTGAATACTAGAGTGGTAGAAAAAATAATGAACAAGATCCTTTCAGAAAAACCTGGAAAGACATAAATCGATGCAAAGTGAAATGAGCAGAAACAGGAGATAATTATACTCAGTAACAGTAACATTGTGATGGTGATCAATTGTGAAAGACTTGGCTGCTCTGATCAATACAGTGGTCCAAGACAATTCTGAAGGACTCATGATGAAAAATGTTTCCCATGTCCAGAGAGAGAACTGTTGGAGTCTGAGTGTAGAATGAAGCATAAGCTCTTTATTTTTTCTTGTTTTATTATATATTTTTTTGCAACATGGCTAGTACAGAATATTTTTCATGATTTCACATGCATAATGATATTATTGATATTATGTTGTGAAGAAGGGGCCTGGAGAGAGAGAGAGAATTTGAAACTCAAAATATTTTTAAAAGAATGTTAAAAGTAAATAAATAATAAATTGAGAAAATTTTAAAACATAAAAGCAGTTGTGGTGAAAGACTAAAAACCATGCCTTATAGGGATCTCAGTAGGTATTTAATTTGTGTTGTTACGTCTTTTTTGAAAGTACCTTTGTCCATTGTGATAAGAAGTTCTTCCATAGTAATTATACCCCACTTCTCTATTTTGCCAGACTGATTTGGGGAAATGAGAAAATGTGGGAGAGGTTGGTGTTGTGACAAAGGGAAAAATAGAAGAGAATCTATATCAATAAATGTGATTTGTCTTCCCACCTATTCACAGCCTAAATATTCTTTGAAAACAACCTTATCATGAAAGTTCATTTTTCTCCACTTAGTAGTATTTTACTTTTTCCAATTACATGTAAAGAGAGTTTTCAATGTTCACTTTCATAAGGTTTTGAGTTTCAAATTTCTTCTCCCTCCCTCCCCTCCACACTCCCCAAGACAGCAAGCAATCTGTTATAGACTATCCATGTACAATCATATTAAGCATATATTAAGATTCATTGTGAATGAAGCCTTTAGGACTATTCTTGCTTTCACTGATCTCTCTTTTCCCTGATTTCTCATGATATTTACCTAAAAACTCAACTAAGTACTTAAAAACCCAAGAACAAAACAATCATTATACTATGTTGGATGTCTCTCTTATATTGTTAGTATTATCATCCTACTGGGGCATAAGTGTCCTGTGGGCAGGGTTCATATATTATGCTTCTCTTGTATCCCCTATAATATTTAGAAGGGGCCTAAACACTTAGCAACTACTTAGTATGTGATCAATGGATAACTTGCTCAGCTACTAATTACTAAGTAACCTTGGAAAATCACTTTACCTTTCTAGGCCTCAGTCCCCTTGTTCATAAAGTGAGGGATTTGGAATAAATGGTCTCTAAGGCAATTTATAAGCTCTAATATTCTACATTTCTATGAATATATAAGAACAAAAGATAAGGATAAAAATGGGCAGTTCATTGGATGAAGAATAAATATCCCCCAAACTTCGGTGGCCCCAATGGGGGCTTATCTGATTTAATATTTTTGAAAATATTCTAGAATAGGTGTTACTGGGGAAAATCTTCAAGATGCCATTAAATTCTCATGGGTAGTGTGATATGTGAAACAGACCAATATAGACTGCAAGATCTTATGGAGTTATATGAGTAACAGATAAGCAATAGTATTTAATTTAGAGAGTAAATAATAAAACTGAACTCATATGATCAATCAACTGCAATCTCAAAGGAGTTATCTAGGTATCTCTGTTGACACATACCTAAAGACATTGTTCTCAAGTCAGAAGGCTCTGGGCAACAAAAGAGAAAGCATTAGCTGATCTGTTGCAAATATACCTTGTTTTGAGGGGGTGAAGGGTAGGTGGAGATAAATGAAAATTAGTATTTAGGAAAATATAAAAATATGAGCGACAGTGTGATGCAGCAGATCTGTATCTCAGACAAACCTAAGTTCAAGTCTCACCTCTGACACCTACTCACTTTGTGACCAGGGCAAGTTACTTCTTAGTACTCTGAGTCACTCTCTAAGACTATAAGTTACAGATGAGTTACCAATGTGTATTTACATATCAGAAATTACCTATGCCAAAATGGCAAATTTAAAACCCACCTGCCCCAACTCTCAGAAAAAAGATTTAGTGTAATTTTTCAGTTCAAATCTCAAGCATATCCCTTTTTTGCATCACCTGTAGGATGTCTGCCTAGAGTCACTTCTGAACTGTACTGTTCATACTTCTGAGTTGGCAGTTTACATTGGTTAAATGACTCGGGAAGGTTATCATCTCAAGATTGTTTAATCTCCTTTCAGAATCCGAAATCTAAAAAAGGAATACAAAAGGAAGCCTGAAAAAGTGGAAGCTTTGAAAGGTAAGAAGAAAAAATGAATTGTTGCAGTAACTTTCAAAATCTGTTTTTTGTAATGACTTGGTCATGGTCTCTGACAGAGCTGACTATAAAAGCGAAGGACTATGCCCTCCAGGATAGAACCTACCCGTGGAATGTAAGCATAATTACTTTCTCCCAACTTTTCTCTTGGCTAGTGCTAGAGGAGTGTACTACTTCCCCTTTGTCATTGTTTGCATTCTGTCCTTCACCAGGAACAGACCAGACTCTTGGAAAATAGAGGAGGAGGCAGTGAATTTGTCTGAGATGCTGCTTCTTACTCATCAAGCATCCTTATACCACTTAAATTTGCTTATTCACAACTCCTCCACAGACTGGAATAATGATCCTAAGTCACTCAATTTGACCTTCCTCTATTTTTGAGGATAAGTTTTTAATAAAATTAAAATTTACATGAACTTTTAAAATATAGCACAAGCCTCTTTAATGTAGATCATCCCTTGGGGGATTTGGGGAGAAGCCTCTCCACCCTTTACTGTTCTGACAATCCAGGCAGAACACATTTTCTCTGCCTTTTCCTTTGTATACTAACACCAACACCAACATTAGCACCAACACTAATTCTCCCTCACAATAACCCCTATGCTCAATGAAGAGCAGACACAAATCAAAAGCAGTAAAAGTAGGTCAGGTGAAATCTATAGTTTTTAAGGAACTATATAAGATCAGGAATTTTGAAAATCTTAAAGAACAAAAAATCTTGGACTGTTTTTCACAATTGGTTCTTAAGCTGTAGTAATATTCCATTATACTCATGTACTGCAGTTTGTTTAGCCTTCACCAATGTATGGGTAGGGCAGCTAGGTGGCACAGTGGATAGGGCACTGGGCCTGGAGTCAGGAAGACCTGAGTTGAAATCTGGACTCAGACACTTGCTAGCTGTATGACTAGCATGTCACTTAACCTTGTTTGCCTCAGTTCCTTATCTATAAAATGAGCTAGAGAAGGAAATGGCAAACTATTCCAGTATCTTTGCCAGAAAAACTCCAAATGGGGTTACAAAAAGTCACATATGACTGAAAAACAACTGAACAACAAATCAATAGGTACCTGATTCATTGCCAGTTTTTTGCTACCATGAGAAGGGCTGCTAGGTAGTACAATGGACTTCAGTAAGTTAGGAAGACTTGAATATAAACCATGCTTCAAATACATAACTAGCTAGCTGCCAGCCCCTGGGTAAGTCACTTAACTTGGGTCTGCTTCCTCATTTTTTTCCTCATTTTCCCTCATCTGTAAAATGATGAAAATAATAATAACACAGGATTGCTCTGAGGATAAAACAAGGAAATATTTGGAAAGTGCTTTACAGACTTTAAAACACTGTTTTCTTTTTTTTATTAATTTATTTTGATTTATCAACAATCACTTCCATAAGTTTTTGAGTTTTAAAATTTTTCTCCCTCTCCCTTCTTCCTCCCTCCCAAAGACAGCACATAATCTGATATATAGGCTATACATATACATTCCTATTAAACATATTTTCACATTAGTGATGTTGTAAGGAAGAATTAGAACCAATAGGAGGAACCACCAGAAAGAGGAAACAAAATAAAACAGAAGAAGAAAATAGCTAACAGTATGCTTCAATCTGCATTCAAACGCCATAGTTCTTTCTTTGGATGTGGAAATCCAAATTTGGATGTATGAAAACACTATGTTTTCATACATATTCTGGTGTCAATGGAAACTTTCTTTCTGCCATTGATCTCCTTAGGCTATGTGCTGAGTAGTGGGATCTCTGGGATAAAGGGAGGAAGCATGACATAGCTCTTTATATCAGGTAAAAGTAGATTCAAATTCCTCCTACCTACTTGCTGTGTTACCATGGGCAAGTCACTTCTTTTTTTTTTTAAATAATTAATTTATTTATTTTTAGTTTTCAACATTCACTTCCATAAGATTTTGAGTTTAAAATTTTCTCCTCCTCTTTTTCCTCTTCCCTCCCTAAGATGGCATGCAATTTGATATATGCTCTACATATACATTCCTATTAAACATATTTTCACATTAGTCATGTTGTAAAGAAGAATTAGAACTAATGGGAGGATCCTTAAGAAAGAAGAAACAAAATGAAACAATAAAAGAAAAACAGAGCAAATAGTATGCTTCCATCTGCATTCAGATTCCAAAGTTCTTTCTCTGAATGTAGATAACATTTTCCATCATGAGACTTTTGTAGTCGTCTTAGATCCTTTCATTACTGAGAAGAGCTAAGTCTATCAAAGTTAGTCATTGCACAATGTGGTTGTTACTATGTACAATGTTCTCCTGGTTCTGCTCACTTCACTCAGTTCATGTAAGTCTTTCCAGATTTTCTGAAATCTGCTTGCTCGTCATTTCTTACAGCACAGTAGTATTCCATTACATTCATATACCACAACTTGTTCAGCTATTTCCCAATTGCTGGGCATTCCCTCAATTTCCAATTCTTTGCCATCACAAAAAGAGCTGCCATGAATATTTTTGTACATGTGGCTCCTTTTCCCTTTTTTGTGATCTCTTTGTGATACAGACCTAGAAGTGGTATTGCTGGATCAAAGGGTATGTGCAATTTTATAGTCCTTTGGGCATAGTTCCAAATTGCTCTCCAGAATGGTTGAATCAGTTCACAACTCCACCAAAAATGCATTAGTGTTCTAATCTTCCCACATCTTTTCCAACATTCATAATTTTCCTGTTTTGTCATGTTAGTCATAATAGGTGTGGTGTGATACCTCAGAGTTGTTTTGATTTACATTTCTCTAATCAATGGGCAAGTCTCTTCTTAACACTCTAAGCAGCTCTCTTAGATTTTAAGTTACAGATGAGCTGCCAATATGCATCAGTGGACAATGATTATACGTCAGAAATTGGCTAATCCAAATGGAGTTACAAGTTCATAATCCAGCATTGCTGTTTTAGTCTGTTTCATAGCATAATTCAAAATTGCTTTTTAAAGTAGTTGGACCAATTTCCAATTCCTCCACGTGTTAAAATTATATCTTGTTCTGGTACCCCTGACCACCTCCCCACACCTCTCTAAATCAGTATGGTAAATTTGTAAGTAGCCAATAAAAAGTGGTAATAGCAGAAAGTAAGATTGTAAAAGGGAACCTTGAAGTTACATGCAAACTAACCCAAAAAACAAAGGAGCATAATTTACAAATTGCATCATATATTAAACAAACATCACATCCTGGTAATATGCACAGAATCAGGGGAAGCCATCTAGACTCTGCTGTCAGGGTTGTTTGGTCCTATTACGTAAATCTTAGATAAGTTCCAGAAGACCAGCAGTATGTTGAATGGTGCTGATAATTTGGAGACGATGTGGACATGTTAACTTTAAAGTTTTACCAACAACTTTAAGAAGATTTGCATATGTTAATGAATCCCAAGGTGGCACAAAAAACCCTATAAAATGAGACCTCAAACCTCTAATTCCTACTCTCCCATCTCCTAAAGATCCATGCTACTTGAGTGCCCCCAACTCTAATGCATGGGCGATTGTCTGTGCCTCTTCCCTTCCCCATGTTCTTCCATATCACTCCCTGCCTGCCTTCACTACCCAATCTCCTATCCCCACATCATCTGCTTCTGTTATCCTTTTTGCCACCTGTTTCTATACTGTATATGGCTGTTCATCCCTATACTCTCTGTACACTCTCTCTTTTTAATAAAAGTATAATTTCAATCTCACTCCCTACTGCCATGATGGTCTTTCCCAGTGAGTACTTAAATGGGGCATGCCTGTTTCATGTCATAATTTCATAAATTGTTTCCAGCAGTATGTTAATGTGCCTGTCTTTCTGCAGTCTTGCCAATCCTATTGCTATGTTTTCTCATCTCCCATTTTCTGGATGTGAGGAGAAACCTCAGTTACTTTGATTTGTATTTCTTTTTTTATTAGTCATCTGAAACAGTTTTTCAAGTGGTGCTTAATAGGGCTGAGAAATGGTCAACATGATGTTTGACACCTGACAACTCTAAGAGAAATGCCAGGAGCAGAACAGAGGTCTGTATGTAATATTTGTCAATCTAACCAAGGCCTTTGATACTGTCAATAGTGAGGGCTTGTGGAAGATCATGGCAAAATTTGTTTGCCCAGAGAAGTTCATCAGTATTGTATGCCAGTTTCATGATGGCATCCTTGCATGGTTTTTGGATAATGCACAAATGTTCTTGCATTTTCCCGGTCACCAACGAAGTGAAGCAGGGATGTGAGCTTTCTCCCATGCTTTTTAGCATGATGTTTTTAGTGATGTTGTCAGATGCCTTTAATAAGGATGAAAACAAAATCAAGGTCAACTACTGTATTGGTGGTAAATTATTTAACTTGAAAAAGTCTACAAGTAGAGAATAAAGAGGATAAAGAGTTGGTGCATGACTTTTTGTTCACAGATGATTATTCATTCAATGTGGTCTCTGAGGCTGAGATTTAGAGTATGGATCAAATTCTCTGCCCCTGTTGCTAATTTTGTCCTAACAATTAACATGAAGAAAACAGAGGTTCTCCACCAGCCAGCACCATACCATCTATACATGGAACCATTGGTTATAGCAAATGGAGACATGTTGAATGCTGTGGATAAGTTCACTTAGCTTGGCAGTACGCTTTCCAGGGATGTACACATAGATGGTGAAGTTGACACATGCATTGCCAGTGCTAGCTCAGCATTAGGGAGGCTCTGAAGGAAAGTGTGGGAAAGAAGAGCTATTAGGCTGCCTACCAAACTGAAGATCCTCATTGTCGTATGCCAATGAAACCTGGACAATCTACCAGTACCATGCCAGAAAATGGAACTGCTTCCACTTGAATTGTCTTAGGAAGATTATGAAGATCACCTGGCAAAATAAAGGTACCAGACACTGAGGTCCTTTCTCAAGCTGAACTGCAAAGCATTCAAACTCTACTGTGGAGAGTGCAACTCTTGGGCTGGCTATGTTGTTCAAATTCCAAATGTACATTTGCCTAAAAGGCACTTTTTTATGGAGAACTCACATAAGGCATGTGCTCATATGATGGTCAGAAGAAGCAATACAAGGGCAATATTAAGGTCTCTCTGAAGAACTTTGGAAACGATTGTGAAATATGGGGGAAACTGGCACAGACTACCCATCATGTGTGCCCACATCAAAGAAGGTGCTATATGTACTTTATGAGAAAAACAGAATTGAAATAGTTCAAAAGAAATGTGAGATGTGCAAATTTAGAGAAATCTCCATTCCAAATATTCATATGGACTATTTGTACCTGACATGCGGTAGAGCCTCTGATCAGCCATAGCTAAAATATGTACCTTGACCTCAACATAATGATGTCATTTTGGTCCTCCTTGAGAACAAAGGACAAATAGCAAGTTTGCTATTCATTTTTTGTGCACTGATTGTTCATTTCAGATTGTCTTCTCCTTTTTACATATTGCTCTGCTTCACTCTCAGAAATATAAATTCATAAGGAAGAAATATCAGCTAGAAGGATTCTTGTTTGGCTGTAGTCACTGTGTTGCAAACAAGGAGGAGAGTCTGACCCTTGTTCTTACCATGATCAGTCTCCATTCCTTTTGTTTCCCTTTTTAATTAAATATTCTTTTAAAATTACAAGCATTTATTTTTCTCTCCCTCCTCCCCTGTGGTGGTGAGAGACACTCATAATAAATGTGAATAATAAAGCAAAAACAAATTCCCACATTAGTCTTGTCCAAAATTCAATGTCTCATCGTGCATATTTGGTCCATAACCTTTCTGTCAGGAGGTGGGTAGCATTCTTCATCACCAGTCTCTTGGAATCATGTTTGGTTACTGCACTGATCAGAATTCTCTAGTTTAGTTTTTTCCAGACTGCTTTCAATTTTTACCAACAGTTTTTTCCTCAAACAGTGAGCTCTTACTCCAATAGCTAGGATTTTTGGAGTTTCTCAAAGACTAGGCTATTTTGTTTTCCTCTGTATGTTGCATATCTAATCTGTTCTGCTGATTGACCTTTATTTTTAACCAGTACCAAATCATTTTGATGAATACTACTTTGTAATGCAGTTTTAGATCTGGTACTGATAAGTTTACACACACACACACACACACACACACACACACACACACACACACACTTTTCCACTCCTGTTTTTTTTTCATCATTTCTTTTGAGATTCTTGACATTTTGCACCTCCAGATGAATTTAATTTTTTTTTCTAGCTTTAAATCCTTTGGTAGCTTGATTGGTATAGTGCTTAATAAGTAAATTAATTTAACATTACCATTTTATTATACTGACTCATCTTACAAATGAGCAATTCATATTTCTCCAATCATTTAGGTCTATCTTAATATAAAAATGTTCTGTTGTTGTATTCATATAGTTCTTGTATGTATCTTTGTAGTTATACTCCCAAGTATTTTGTAAATTCCATACTTTATTTTTTAAATTAATTTTTAATTCAATTTTTTAAAAAAATTGAGTTCCAAATTCTCTACTTCCCTCAAGCCCCTCCCCTCCCCATTGAGACAGCAAGTAATATTACATGAAGTATACACATAAAATAATGCAAAACATATTTCTGTATTAGCTATGTTTCAAAAAAAGCAAGAAAAATATTATAATTTAGAGTATTTTTCATATGACTATCTATAGCTTTGATTTCTTCTTCTGAAAACTGCCTGTTCATATCTTTTGACCATTTATCAATTGGTCCATAGTTACTTTAAATGGAATTTCTCTATCTCTTGTTGCTAGTTTTGTTAGTAAGATGAAGAAATGATGAGTTATGTAGACTTATTTTACATCCTACCACTTTGCTGACATTATTTAAATTAATTTTTTAGTTGATGCACTATGATTCTCTAAGTAAATCATCATACATAAATTTACATATAAGTTGTTTATAAAAAGTAATAGTTTTATTTCTTCTTCACCTGTGATTATTACCTCAATTTCTTTTTCTTATCTTATTGCTATATATAGCATTGCTAGAACCATATTAAATAAGAGCATTGATAATGGACAACTTGGATTAACCCTTGATCTTAGTGTAAAATCTTGATTTATCTCTATTATGTGTAATCCTGGCCCCTTGTTTTCATGTATGTGTGCGTGTGTGTGTGTGTGTGTCTGTGTGTATATGGGTGTTATATCTTGTCAAAAGCTTTTTCTACATCTGTTGAATCATCATGAAGTTTTTTTGTTATCCTTATTATTAATATAGTCTATTATGTTTTTTGATTGAGCTCGTTCTTCTGGGAGTCCTGTGATCTTTAAGTTATCTTTTTATCTTCTGTCTTAGAGGCCAATCAATTTGATCTATATTAGACCTGTAAAAGAGCATTCATATGCCCTTTTCAGGTTATTTTTCTTGCTACTTTTTCTTGCCAAATTTTCTTCTGCTTCTGTATATTTGAGTTCCAAATCTTTCATTCTCTCTTTCAGAGACTCTTCCTTTTGTGTAGATATTCTCCATAATGCATCCTAATTTTTATAATCTGGTGTTTGTATCCTTTGATTCTTCATTGAAAGCTCTGATTTCAGACCTAAATAAAAATTACCAGTGCATTAACTTTATAAATTGATTTTGAGATTATATTTTTATGATCATCTTTAGATCTAATATTGTACAGTGACTATATCTCCCACTAGTAAAACTCTTTTAATTCATTTGAAAATATTTTTAAGTTGTTCTGTGTTTTTGATAGGTTAATATGCACAGAAATGGTATTTTTAGTCATGATTGAAGATAATATTTCTTGTTTTATCAACTTTTTTCTGGGTTTCATTTGGAGTTTTTTTCTTTGTCAAGTATTTTTTACTTTGTCTTTTTTTTTACTTTATCATTTGCTTTAAAAAAAGTTTTACTTTATGAAAAAGTACTTTACTGTAACTTTTAAACTTTATACTCTTTTACTTTGCTGTATTGCAAGTTAAAGTAATTGATGTCATTTTTTAAATTTTGCTTTATTGAAAATGTAAGCAATTCATTACTTCAGTTTTTTGTTTGAGTCCTCTTGAATATTCCAGACTTCATCTAATCTGGAAATGCTGATATTTTTGCCTTTTATGATACTAATTTCTTTTCTAAGTTGTATACACAAATCTACTGTTTCTAAAACTGTATTAAGTAGAAGTAGCGGAAATGGGTAACTCTCTTCAACTAATAACTTCTTATTAGCACGTCAAATATAAAAGATTTGTACTATATTCTTTTGAAATACATGAGAAGAAAATAATATTTTTTGAAATTAATGTGTGTTTATTTTTCAGTATTCATTCCATAAGCTCTTGAGTTCTAAATTTTCTCCCCTCTCTCTCCTTCTCTCTCCCCTAGATAGCACCCAATTTGATATATGCTCTACATATACATTCCTATTAAACATATTTTCACATTAGTCATGTTATAAAGAAGAATTAGAACCAAGAGGAGGAACCACAAGAAAGAAGAAACAAAACAAAACAGAAGAAAAAAAAGAGCAAATAGTATGCTTCGCTCTGCATTCAGACTCCATAGTTCTTTCTCTGGATGTGAATAGCATTTTCCATCATGAGACTTTTGGAGACGTCTCAGATCCTTGCATTACTGCAAAGATCTAAGTCTATCAAAGTCAGTCATCGCACAATGTGGCTGTTACTGGGTATAACGTTCTCCTGGTTCTGCTCACTTCACTTAGCATCAGTTCATATAAGTCTTTCCAGGTTTTTCTGAAGTCTGCTTGCTCATCATTTTTTACAGCACAGTAGTATTCCATTACATTCATATACCACAACTTGTTCAGCCATTCCCCAATTGATGGGCATCCCCTCAATTTCTAATTCTTTGCCACCACAGAAAGAGCTACTATAAATATTTTTGTACATGTGGGCCCTTTTCCCATTTATATGATCTCTTTGGGATACAGACCTAGAAGTGGTATTGCTGGGTCAAAGGGTATGCACATCTTTATAGACCTTTGGGCCTAGTTCTAAATCACTCAGCAGAGTGGTTGAACCAGTTCAGAACTCCACCAACAATGCATTAGTGTTCTAGTTTTCCCACATCTTTTCCAACATTTATAATTTTCCTGTTTTTTCAGGTTAGCCAATCTGATAGGTGTGATGTGGTACCTCAGAGTTGTTTTGATTTGTATTTCTCTAATCAATAGTGATTTAGAGCATTTTTTCATATGACTATAGATAGCTCCAATTTCTTCATCTGAAAACTGCCTGTTCATATCCCTTGACCCTTTATCAATTGGGGAATGACTTGCATTCTTGTAAATTTGACTTAGTTGTCTATATATTTTAGAAATGTGGCCCTTATCAGAAACACTGGTTTCCCAGTTTTCTGCTTTCCTCCTACTCTTGGTTGCATCTTCCTTCCTAATCTTGGTTGCAGATTTTTATATGTGCTTTTTGCCTATGTTTCTAGAACTATAAAAATATCGTTGAATCATGCACTATTAGATCTGAACAGCAAACCATTTGGAATCATTTCATTCCAAAGTTTTTCAACCACCTTCTTCTATATGATATAATCCTAATGTCAACATTTTGGTCTACCAACTTATGGTTCAGTGGGATAAAGTGCTTGGCTTGGAGTCAAGAAGACCTGAGTTCAAATTCGGTTGCAGACATTTACTAACTGTGTGACCCTGGGCCAGTCACTTAATCTCTGTTTATCTCAGTTTTCTTATCTGGAAAAAATGGGCATAATAAGAGCACTTTAATAATAGCTCCTACCTCCCAAGGTTGCCTTGAGAATTAAATGAGATAATAAATATTAAGTGTCAGTATCTGGCATATAATAAACACTACATACATGTTAGCTATTAAAACAAAATAATTTTTATTTCAATCTTAGGTTTGCAATTGGACATCTATGAAGGCCAGATCACAGCAATACTTGGTCACAGTGGAGCTGGGAAATCAACACTAATAAATATTCTTAGTGGGTTATCTGCCCCAACAAAAGGTGAGTGATAAGTTGCTCAACCACAAACTGATTGATAAATAGATCAAGGGATATGAAAAAATTATTACTAATTTCACATGAAGAGGCAGTGTGGTTGAATAGAAAGAGCCTTTGACTAAGAGTCAAAGCACCAGAATTCTCATGCCGTCTTTGGCATTATGTAGCTATGTTGCCCAAGACACTGAATCTATCTGAGGCTCAGTTTCCTTATCTGGAAAATGAGAACATTGGGCCAAATGATCACCAAAGAATTCACATTGAACACTAAGGTGTTGTAGAGACTGAATCATGGAATATTCCCAACCTAGTTAATTCACAGTGGTTAGCAGAGGTCTGGCTGAGCAGAGAGCAGCAGTGACGTGGTGAAAAGTGTAGTTGGGACAATTCATAAGATTAAAGAATGAAAGCTGGAAGGAAACTTTGATTTCTGAAAATTGACTATTAGAAATGACTTCACATTGAAAGTGGAGCTGAATCATTTAAAAAGCAGGGATGAGTGCTTTCCAGATATAAGGGATCACCTGTGCAAAGGTATAGAGGTGGGAATTGGAAAGATTAATTCAAAGAATAACTAGGCAAGTTTGGCTAGAACTTCTTGTGTGGTCAAAGGGACACAATATGAAATTAGTCAGGAAGATAAAATTGTGGAGGGCTTTGATTCCAGGGTGAAAAATTTGAATTTTATCATAAAAGCAATAAGTAGATATTTAGCATGGATTGACATAGTCAAACATGGTTTAGGAAGACTGTTTTGGTCCCTCTGTTAAAGACAGCTTAGGAGGATGGAGACTACCAGGAAGGAGAGCAAATAGGGGAATAACAAGCAATAGTCTAAGTGAGAGGTGAGGAAGACCTTCAGGTAGAGTGCTTGTAGCACAAGTGGAGAGAAGGCAACAATTGTCAGAGATGTGGTGGTTGGGAACTTGATTTGCTATGGGGTGCAAGGAAGGGAGAACAGTGACAGAAAACTGTGGTTTTGAACTTGGGTGACTAAAAGGATGTTGGTTATCTTGACCGTAATAAGGAAATTTGAAGGAGGTAAGGGTTTTGGGGGAAAGGTCTTGACATGTTGGTTCTGATATAACAATGGGACATCTAGGTGGAGATGTGCAATAGGAAGTTGGCAGGAGAAAAGTGGATATATAGGTATGAGAGTCATCTACCTAGACATGAGATTGAACTGATGGAAGAAGAGCATAGCACCAAGAGAACATAGAACAGAAAATGAAAGTTTTCTAAGTTTGGGGGAGACCTAGGCATATTTTTAAAGAATAGAGGAGGATATTAATAGATTGAATAAGAGAGGGAGTAGAGAAATAGAAGGGGGGAGGGAGGGACAGAGAGACAGAGAAAGAGGAGAGGGAGAAACAGAGAAGGAGAGGGAGAGAGGGAAAGACATACAGACAGACACAGACACAAACAGAGAATGACTGAAAGGGGAGGTTACCTCAAGCAAGTTATTTAACCTATCAGAGAGACTTCATCTTTTAAATGAAGGAGTTGAACTAGAATCAGGGGTGGGGAACCTGTAGCCTTGAGGCCACATGTAGTCCTCTAGATCCTCAAGTGTGTCCCTTTGACTGAATCCAAACTTCACGGAACAAATCCACTTAATAAAAGGATTTGTTCTCTAAAACTTGGACATAGTTAACAAGCTGTACCCAAGGTCTAGAAGGCCCATGTGGCCTTGAGCCCCCAGATTCCCCACCCCTGATGATGTCTAAGGTAAGGCCTCTTCTAGTTCTAACATTTTGTGACTGTTAAAGATATTGTGGCTCTCTCAACTGACTAGTTTTGCAATCCATTATCTATAAAATAATGCATGTTTTGAATGTAATGAGTTTGCACATACAGTGAAATTTTTTCCCAGCTGAACAGATCCTGGAATTTAGCATAATACCCAAATATTTAAATTGTTTAAATGTCTTTTGTAGGCTCTGCTAGCATCTACAGTAACAACCTCTCTGAAATGACGGAATTAGAAGAAATCAGGAGGATCATTAGTGTTTGCCCACAATTTAATGTGCATATTAATTTCCTTACTGTGCGAGAAAACCTCAGGCTATATGCTAAAATCAAAGGGCTTCCACCAAATATGGTGGAGCAGGAGGTAGGTAAACATTTTAGGACAGATAAATTGGTGAAGATTGAAATTATTCATCCATGGAAATCTGATTATTTCTGCTCAGGTATCTATATAGGAGTCAATTGATAAACTCTAGGCAGGGAGAACCTGGAATAAATTTATCTACATTTAAAGAACAGTGAGAAGAAAGAGCTTATTTGAAAGCATTTTCAGGTTTTTTGAGTTTGCTCTGCTCTCTTGGTTAGGTGCAAAGAGTTTGTCTGGAATTGGAAATGAAAAGTATTCAAGACACCTTTGCTGCAAACCTAAGTGGTGGACAGAAAAGGAAGCTGACCTTTGGTATTGCCATTTTAGGTGATCCTCAGGTATGTCGGATTGAATTATAAGGTTTCATTCTAAAGAAAATGAAAAATATAGGAAGGAGGCTATTAGGAAATGCAATGCAATCTTTTTGGATTTTTTTCCAAACTTATTGTGCACACACACATACACACATTTTAAGACTTGTATGCTGCTTTCCAAAAGAGTCTCACTTTAAATCCAAAGGTCTTTTTATTTGCTTTCATCCTTTGTAGGTTTTGTTGTTAGATGAACCAACTGCTGGATTGGATCCTTTTTCAAGGCACCAAGTATGGCAGCTCTTAAAGGAACGCAAAGAAAACCGTGTGATCCTCTTTAGTACCCAGTTCATGGATGAGGCTGATCTTCTTGCTGGTGACACTCAGTTTCTTTTACTTTCTATCACCAAGAATCTGGGGAATCAGGGAAGCATGGATCTTATCTAGGGCCATGTCTACATTGAGAAACGCAGTGATAGAAGATATGAGAGCCTTGTTTCCATATAAATGTCTGCAGTATGGTAGCACTTTTATTTCCAAAGGTATACTGGTGACTACATCAGTGAATTGAATCTGAAGGCCCTTTCATTTATTGTAAATTTGCTTGGCAAGCAGCATTAGAAAAAAAAAGATTTGTATTTTGTTTTCTTTTTTTATCAGAGCAGTCAATTTGAAAACTCTAAGTCGTAGTATTTGGTTTGATACCTTGCCTTCTCCCCGCAAAAATGTATCCCCTCCCAAAAAGTTCTGGATAATATAAAAATAACCTAGAAGTCATGGCTAGCTTTAGAATGCATCATATTTATCGGGCTTCAGATTAAATCCTGCATTTTAACTGTAAGTGGTATATTCAATAAAGTGAGAGTGCAGAGCAATCACTTCAAGCCGACCCTATAAATTCCACCTTGTTCTTCACCTCCCCCCACCCTTCACACAACATTTCTAAGTGAAGAAACAACTTCCTAACCTACTTTATCATTGCTTTCTTTTTGCTAGATTGGAAAGTCTTTATATCCAGTGGGAGACTGAAGTGTGCAGGCTCTTCTTTGTTTCTAAAGAAAAAATGGGGGATTGGCTATCACTTAAGGTACTACAACTTGAGGAAGTTTAAGGATTTGTTGTATCAATACTTCTAGGTATTTAAAGAATATAACTAACATAAAGGATACTCCTTGAAGTTTGAAGCACATAATTTTAAGAAAAAAAAACATTTATTATTCTACACAGCAGAAACCACATATATGGAACTCATTACCAATAAGCAAATCTAAAGAAAGTCTGAATTAGCCCTGAGGGGCCTCAGGTTCTGTATTCAACTCAAAGAATCATTCTTAAACTACAATAGTAAGAATTACAGCTTTACTGAAGTGATCAAGAGAGAAGATATTAGAAAGTAAGGATCCCTGATAAGAAGCCAGACTTTATAGCAGTTATAGCCAAATGCGGGGTCAGCAGACATGGCTCCCCATGTGTCTCTTTAGCCCTGATGGATACTTGTCCTAAGTGCCAATAGCAGCAGCCCATGAGAACAGTAAAGTGCTTGCCAGGTCAAAAGAGCAAAAAAAATTTCCCTCAGAATTTCTCCTATCTCCCTCATCCAATAGAAAATGACCTATCATTCTGTGGGGAACTGGATCAATTGTCAATATAATTTGTATTTTTTCATAAAAAAAGGAGACTTTCTATGAGAATGTACAATTTTTTGACTGGAGGCTTTATGTCTCTTTTCTATATGGGCTGCAGCCATAGAGGTATTTCCTCATTCTGATTTATGTAAACAAGAGGGACAATAATTGAGATTGCTTCAGGATCTGAACAAAGCCTGCTACAAGGTACAAGAAAGCTTTAGATGGAGTCTTAAAGGATGTATGAGTAATAGGCAAAGAGTAGCTGTCATTACCAACCTTTTGAGGTCTGCATTATGAGGAGACTCTGGTCCATGCAAAACATATGTTACCATGACTGTTAGGGAGAAAATATTTCAAAAAAAAAAAAGATAGGTCATTCTGACTCAAGGTGGTGGCTTTTATGACCTTGCATTCTCATAAAAATTCTTATTTTTTGTTTGGGTTTTTTTGTTAAGAAAAATGAAAATAGTTCTAGTTTGAGTATTTTTGTTGAATCAACGATTCCTTTACTATAGAGTCTAACATATCTCTATGCCTTGGGCAGCTAAGTGGCACAGTGAATAGAGTGCTGGTTCTGGGGTCAGGAAGACTCTTCTTCCTGAGTTCAAATCCAGCCTCAAGTGCATACTAGCTTTGTGACCCTGGGCAAGTCACTTAATGTATTTGCCTCAGTTCCTCATCTGTAAAATGAACTGAACAAGGAAACGGCAAACCACTCTAGTATCTTTGCCAAGAAAACCCCAAATGGGGTCATGAAGATTCTGATATGACTGAAAGATGACTGAACAACAAAGAAAATGTCAATACCTATTCAATATCATCTGTTTGAGAACATGGTCAAATTCTGAATATGGAAATGTAGACAGACTCTTCACTTCTGTGATTATAACCTTTTAAAACAATGTTATCACAATACCTAATAGTATAAGACAGATTTTTGCATTTTATAATGTCCCTTTCTGATGTTACACCCTAAAATGTGCTCTTCAAGTTCACCTATCCCATGGGTCACATTTATTTCTAGGTTCCCAAGTTCTGTAGAGGTTTCTTAGGCCATAGTTGCTAAAAGTGAGATGAAATCTCAAGCTGTGATATTTAGTATATTTAGTATGGCTTTGCAAAATAATACAGAAATAACTTATTAGGGATGTACAGCTATCATGGTCACCATTTCCAGGACATGCAGAACGATAATTTCTATTTCTTTTCTTGTTGAAAGAACACTATTATTTCATATCTTCCACCTTCTCATTTATTATACTTCTTGGAACCAACCCCCAACTGCTAATGAAATAGTCACTTATGGTTTAATCTAAAGTTGCATAGCAGAAATATAGTCTCTATTTTCTACAAAAATCTCTGTTCAATATTTGTATCCCATGCTGTTTGTATCATGGTTTCTCTCCTGTTTTCTTCATAAATTTACATAGGATACCTTGCTGGTATCAGCTAGTCAAGTTAGCAAAGAATAAAGAGCAGGGATCACCCTTGCTTTCAAGCCATCTCATCTACTGCATGCTACATGCCAACATAGGATCACAGATTAGAACTACAAGAGAATTCTGAGGTCATCTTCTTCTACTTCTTTCTTATACAGATGAAGAAACTGAGGCCCAGAGAGATTAAGTAAATATTTTTTGCCCAAAGTCATGCAGTTAACAAATGGTGCTATAACTCCAAGGCCAGCAATCTTTCTGTCCTCTTTAACATATCCATGGGGAATCTTCAATAAATATTTATTAAATTCCATTATTTATGAAGCCATTGCATTTTGGGGTGACCATTCTCAGTGAAGAGTGTATCTACTAGAAGAGATTCAGGAGAGAGACATTTGTGGTGGTGTTCAGTCATTGAGTCATGTTCAACTCTTTGTGATTCCATGAACCACAGAACGCCAGGCCCTTCTGTCCTCCACTGTCTCTCAAAGTCTGTCCAAGTTCATGTTCACTGTTTCTATGACACTATCTACCCATCTATCCTCTGCTGTCCTCTTTTCCTTTTGCTTTCAATCTTTCCCAACAAGGTCTTTTCCAATGAGTCCTGCCTTCTCATTATGTAGCCAAAGTACTTAAGCTTCAGCTTCAGTATTTGACCTTCCAGTGAATAGCCTGAATTAATATAAGCACTGATTTGATCTCCTTGCTGTCCAAGGAACTCTCAAAAGTCTTCTCTAGTACCACAATTTGAAAGTGTCCATTCTGCAGTACTCAGCTTTCCTTATAGTCCAAGGACATTTGTAACAGTTAAGAAAAAAAATCTCTTTCCCCCAAACCTCGAACTTGAATGCAACTTTGCCTTCTGATTTTTAAGAGGAGGATTTCTTCCTTATCATAACAATAATAACTCTCATTTATATACTGCTTTAAGTTTTGTAAAGTACATTATATTTATTACCTCATTTGTTCCTCATAACAACTCTGGAAAGTAGATGGTATTATTTACCCCATTTCATAGATGAGGAAACTGAGGTCCAGTGAGGTTAAATGATTCGCCCAGGGTTACATAGCTGAATGTATAATCTCAGTGTTCTTTTATGAAAATTAACCTGCCACTCAAGTGAGGAAGCCCCCACCTCGCCTTCATTTGAAGAAATAGTATGTTCCATAAGTAATTAATGATTGACTGGGCTAGTTGCATAGAGGAAATTAAAATAGGTCAACTATATGTGGATACCTTAGAATCGTCTCAGCTTGTCACTTGTTGAATGAGGCAAGAACTTCCCCCCACACACACATTTTCATGAATTCAATTACATTCAACAGCTCTTTTATTGGGTGCCTCCTATGCTCAGAGCATTGAAGTAGCGTGGAAGAATAAGGGTAACCAATCACTACTCTCGTTAAGTCATCGTCTAAGTGGGGTTTATGGCACATAGGAAGGAAAGAAGAAAGGAAAAAGGGAAGAAAGGCTTGGAAAGAAAGAAAGAAGGGAGAGAGGAATGGAGGGAGGAAATAAGTATCTTAAAGTACCCACAATGTGCCAAATACTATGCTAATATAGTAACTAATTAATATTATTATCACCATTTTACAGTTGGGGAAACTGAGGCAAAAAGAAGTTAAGTGACTTGCTCAGAGTTACACAGTTAATAAATGTCTGAAGCTGGATATTTAGCTATATCTTACTGACTCCAGGCCCAAAGCTCTATCCACTGGATCACCTCTGAACATCTAAACACTATTAAAATTGACAATGTTCTGTTACAGAAAGGGTCTCCAGAGGAGTCTGATTGGGATAAGTAGCAATTGAGATGGGCTTTAAAGGATGTGTAGGAATTCATTAGTCATTGGAGTTACTAAGAAGAAATTCATAGCTATGCACAAACAGTAGCATTATATTTCCTTAGAAATTCTAAGGTCAGGTTTGGAACACTTGATAAATAATTTTGTCAGGACAAGGGGACAGAAATGCAGGATGACAAAAGGAAGGAGAATAAAATAAGGTAATAGGGATTAGAAAAGATGACCTGGAGGGCCTTTCTAGTATTAAGATTCTACAATTACGTAAAAAGTTATTGGATGACAGTTACATAATGAAACCTATAAATCATTACTCTAGCTCTTTCCTATGACTATGCCTGCTCTCCCCCCAAATAATACATTTTTTCAAAGCCTGAGATTTTGTTTTGTTTATACACACACACACACACACACACACACACACACACACACACATTTATTTTAATCTTCTAAAAATCCTAGTAAAATGTCATGAGCACAATAAACATTTAATTGTTTTTCTAAGGTGATGGTGATGATAAAGACAAATACAAATAAGTTATGCCCATTTTTTCTTTATCATATTTCAGTTTGCAAAGAAATGAATCTTGTGATACAGAGAGAATAACATCACTCATTAAACATCATATTCCTGATGCCAAATTAACTGCAAAAAGTGAAGAAAAACTTGTATACACATTGCCCTTAGAAAGGACGGCTTTATTTCCAGGTAACATAATAGGGGTAATTAAAAACAAAATCTAGAAATAATACTAAAATGAGAAAACAAATTTTGGGGGCCAATTCATTTGAATAAGGATGAAAAATTACTATTTGAAAAGACATTGGCAGTTTTAAGTATGTGTTGAGAAAGGTGATCACGATGGTTAGGGGGCTTCAAATTGTTAAGGATATAAGGATAAATTGAAGAAACTTAAGATTTTTTTATTTTGGATAAAGGAACACTCACAGGAGGTACGTGATAACTATAATAAGGAATTTGAAGCACTAATATGAGAAAGAGGGACTGAACTTCTGAGGATTTCTAGAGGGCAAAAACTATAAGTTATAAGTAAAAGTTTCAGAAATACAGATTTTGGATTCATACATGGAAAAATTTGCTAATTATTAGAGCAGTCCAAAACTAGGTTCTATAGCCTTAAAAGGTAGTGAGCTCCTCATTACAAGCAGACTTGAATTGGAGATCGTACTGTAAAATGAATTCTTGCTGGTTTGAAGTATGTAACCTCTGAGACCCTTTGCAAGCCTGAGATTCTTTGAAAGTTGCCTTGTACCAATGAAAAAATGTAGGCCAAAAGCACTAGGAAAAAATTAACCATTGAGATCCTATAAAAATTTGAAAGTAATACATTTAAAAGTTGTCTATTTCTTATGAAAAAATCTCTAGTAAAATATTTCAATTACTGTTTTGTATACTTTGAATATAATAAAAATATTTTAGATCTAATGCATTATTTTGGGGGGAGTTTTTTCTATAGAAAAATATTAATCCAAAATACCCATTTTTATTGATAAATATATTCATTCTCAGACTCAGTAAAAGGGTTTTTTTTATGGTTTTAACATGTTTTGGTGATTCTTTAGACCTTTACAGTGATCTTGATGATTGTACTGACCAAGGCATTATGAATTATGGTGTTTCCATGACAACTCTGACTGAGGTATTCTTGAAACTAGAAGGAAAAACAGAAACTAATGAAACAGGTAAAAAAAAAGTCACATGCATTGTAATTTAAAATACAAAATATCCTCTGATGTTTATAAAAGTTACTCAGATGTCCTGACTTTCAAGGGCTCCAACCTAAGACCCAAAACTGTGAATCTACTTCTCCACGTTTCCCTGACCACCTTTCCCCTGCCCAACAACATATTATCTAACTAATTATGATATTCACAAAACATATTTATCTGATTCAGAGTAAGGCATTAATAATAGTTAACACTTCCTAGCCATTTTGCAACCATTGCACCTATACTCCAGCCATTCTCCTCCCACTGGAACCTGCACTCTTCCCCTCACCCTGGGCTCTAACAGGGGAGCTTTTGCCCTGTCTTGCTCCAATCCAAGCCTCCATGTCACTTCCTGGCTGTTTCCAAACTATGTCACCTACAATCCAGCCATATTCCTCACCTTCCTCCCACCAGAAGGTAATCCAAAAAGTAAACTCTGCTCTGATAAGTGAGCTTTTTCTTTATTTGTGCCTGAAACTAGGCCCCCATGGTGACTTTTTGGCCATTTCCAAACTGTCATCCTGCAGGTTTCTTCCTCATAACTTCCCCTTCATGTATGTCTTCCCCCTTTAGAATGTAAGCTTTTTGAGAGCAGGAACTGTAGGAGGTTGGGAAGAGGGATGAGTTTTGAGGGAAATATGAGTTCCATTTTGGACATGTTCAATTTGATATGTCTGAGGGACATCTAAGTGGAAATGTTCAATAATCGGTTGATGATGTATGATTGGAGCTTAGGAAAAATACTAGGAATCATCCACAGAGAGGTAATAGTTGAACCTATGGGAGCTGATGAGATCACCTAGATCAAACCTTTAGAGAGGGAAAAGAAGAGGGTCTAGGACAGAAGCTAAGGTAAACTACAGGAAAGGTTTGTGACATGGGTAATGACCTGAAAAGGAACCCAAAGAAATATTCAACCAGGTAAGAGGAGAAGCTAGAAAGGATAATTTCATTTTTTTAAAAAAAAGGAGGAAAGAGTATATAGGATGAAGAGAGAGTCAACAGTATAAAATTATTCAGAAAAGTCAAGAAAGATGAAAACTGAGAAAAGGACATTAGATTTAGCAAATAAGAGATCAAAGGTACCTTGGAAAGGACAGTTTTTCAACTAAGTATTACAAACATCTGAGGTGTGAGTAAAAGGAAAGGAAGTGGAAACAACAAATACACATGACTTTCTCTTTTGGTGATGATTTATTATGCAAGTACTATGTACTAAGGCACATATATACAAAGATAAATTTGACATACTCAAGAAACTGATTCTTCTAAGTTACATGCAAAAGTTCTCTTGTCCTTTTGTTGTTGTTCAGTTGTTTCAGTCACGTCCAACTCGTTGTGACCCCATTTGAGGTTTTCTTGGCAAAGGTACTAGAGTGGTTTGCCATTTACCTCTCCAGCTCATTTTATAGATAAGTAAACTGAGGCAGACAGGGTTAAGTGACTTAACCAGGGTCACACAGTGAGTGTCTGAGTCCAGATTTGAACTCGGGAAGATGAGTATTCTTGATTCCCATCCCAACAATGTGCCACCCAGCTGCCTCTTTCCTTTTGTCCTAGAAGCACGCAATTCAAGTATTTATTAAGTATTTAAATTATATGCAAGAACGTACTGTGTGCCAGGCACTGTGCTAACACTGGGGATACAGAAAAGAAAAAAGACAGTGAGTGCCTGCCTAATAAAGGAAGTCAGGAATGGGGCAAAGAGTGTAGTGGGGTACTTGGCACAGGGACATGATCCTCCATGGAATCAAAACTAAGCAAGAGCTATTGATGGAAAGCTGAAAATTACCTGGAAATTCAGATTTCACATTCTATATAGGAAGCTAGGGGGCTCAGTGGATAGAGTGTCCAGGGTTCAAATTTGGTCTCAAACACTTACTTAGCTGTGTGACCCTGGGCAAGTCACTTAAACCTGTTTACCTCAGTTTTGTCATCTATAAAATGAGCTGGAGAAGTAAATGACAAACCTCTCTAGTATCTTTGCCAAGAAAACCCCAAATGGGGCCTTGTAGAGTTGGAAATGACTGAAAAATGACTGAAGGACATAAAAGAAGGCTTTAGTGCTCTACTCTCTAGCCCTTCAATCAGAAGGAAGAAGAGGCTGGGAAGTTGAGAAAATGTTGAGTATGATAACTAAGTCAATCAGCAGGATGATGAGATTTTAGATGATCGGCTTAATCTGGGTGGAGAATGATGGTCCAAGTAGAGCTGCTGATAGAAATTTTCCGTATGAGAGCAGTTACCTTGATGCTGGATAGGGAAGGGCCAGTATAGCTTCCATCACTCACCAGAAATCTCAGTAATATGAAACTGTCTCTTATTTTAGCTAAAGCAGCACCCTGTTCCTCTGCCACTTTCATAGGGTGGGGAGAGCAAGCGAACATTTAGAGTTAGCCATGTAGTTGAAAAAGTCAGTTCCTTTCAGATGCCAAAATGCTGTCACTCATAACAGTTAACTGAAAGCAGACAGAGAAATATCTGAGTACCCTTTATATGACCAATATTACACAGACAGAAGCAAACCAGCCACTTCCCTCAAGATGATTATATTCTACTAAAGGGATACAATATCTTCATCTGTAATTTATTTATTGTTTTAGATGTTTCAGTCTTGTCTAACTCTTTGTGACCCTATTTGGGGTTTTCTTGGGAAAGAAATTGGAGTAGTTTGTTATTTACTTCTCCAACTAATTTTATAGATGAGAAAACTGAGGCAAAGAGGGTTAAGTGACTTGCCCAGGGTCATACAACTAGTAAGTGTCTGAGGCTGGATTTGAACTCAGGTCTTCTAGAACTGGTGCTCTATCCACTGTGCCACCCAGCTCACCTTGTAATTTATGTGCGTATATAATTTGTGAAATGACCTCAAAAATGTTTGTAAAAGAACTGTAGCTTTTATGTACATTTTACCTTCTCTACTAGAGTATAAATTCCCTGAAGACATAGACTGTATTTATCTTTTTTCTTTCCTTCACTGCCTATCGCCATACCTTGGAAATACTAAGTGTGATTATTGAATTTAATTAAAATAATCAGTCTTCATTTGTTTCCTTTGTGATTTGAGTTGACACTATAAATAGAATATCTGAGACCTCTTTTCAGATACCCCTAAATTATGTTTTCAATCCTATTTTGTTTATAAGGGATTTATTTTGTGTTGTACTTTTCTCAATGTGTCTGCAGATTTTGGCAGTGGTGGGCAGGAGCAAACAGAAGTCACCAGACATTTTGAAAACCCTGTTGAACCAGAGCAAACTTTCCCTTCTCTTCCTGGAGAGAAGATGGAGACAGTCAGTGGTATGGCTCTCTGGAGACAACAGATTTGTGCAATTGGAAGGGTTCGTTTCTTAAAATTAAAGCATGATGGGAAAGCTGTTCTGTCATTGTGAGTATCAGAATCCTTATGATTTATTTAAGGTATAAATATACATTTTTGGTCTCTGAAAATGTTTCCTCTATTAAGTCCTACTCCGACGCCTTGTCATGGTGACCCTGGATTCTTGAGGTCTATACCAGCTCAGCGTGAGCTCTAGCAGCTTTTACCATGTTTAAAAAGACTTCAGGTCTGGTACAGGCAACAGATTATTTCTGTTTTCTGAGGATCAGCTAGCTAAGCACAGAGATGCTCCTCAGCAGTAGGCTGATTGCATGGTGACCAATACTTTTGCCATGAAACAAAAAACTGTTTCCACCCTATAGAGCTCCCTGTCTCTTCTGTAGCGACAGTTGCGAAGTGATAGGAAAGGAGACAGATGGTGCTAAAAGTCTGTAGTCTTTAGTCTTTAGATCATTTATAAACATGATCTTAGTTGTTGGTACTATATGTGAAATCCTTGTCCAGGGGCCAACTAATAAACACACCACCAGAAGAACTAAGTTGCATCAATCTTGATATCTCTCTATAAACAATAACAGGAGACAGAAGGAAGTTTCAGTTACAGGGAAAGTGGCTCAAAGGCTCTTCTTCATAAAGGAACAAATAAAGGAGTGGGAGAATTTGGTTTTATTGAATCTAATGGCAACAAGAAACAACATACCATGGGACATGATCATCCCATATTGTAGTACTAATGATGATCATTTGCCCCCCAAAATGTTATTATGTAAATAATTGTCCCTTAGATGCCATTTTTTCTCCAGAGGATGGAGAAGTTCAGAAATTATAAGAATGATAAATCAAGAAATGATAAGACCCAATTCAAAGTCCAATCTAAGGATTTCTTTATTGATGATGGAGTCCTTTCCACATGCTCCTGTTTACAAATGACATTATGTTGTTTGTATCTAACATTTCAGACTATTATAAGTGAGATCTGTAATCACTGAGTTAGGTCTAATTTTCTACACAAGAGAATTAAATGGGTGAAAAATGCCTGTGGTTCAGAGTATGACATACAGCTGAATGAACAAGCTATAGAGTTTATCCATTGACATATATGTTTTTATTGGCTTTTTTAAGGCAATTGAGGTTAAGTGACCTGCCCAGGGTCACACAGCTAGTAAGTGTCAGGTGTTTGGTCTAAGGCCGGATTTGAACTCAGGTCCTCCTGACTCCATGGCTGGTGCTCCATCTATTGTGCCACCTAGCTGGCCAATACATATATTTTAAACAGATTCTAGAAATGGGTATGGAATCAAGCCAAAGGAGAAATGCAGACTGGATTACATTTAGAAAATCTCACAATTCTTTTAGTGACCACAAGATTCTCCCTGAAACAAATGTCCATTTTTTCAAGGTTCCTTCTGGCTTTGGAGCTATAATCCTATGATCTTATGCTTAGGATTCATGTTGACATTCTCTTGATCAATGAACCCCAAAGACAAAAGACGCTATAACTCAATGAAGGGATGCCTCGCAAGTTATTCTCAGATTTAAATAAAGAAGTTGAATGGAGTTAATTCTATCATAAACTCAAAAATCAATTATATATATATATGTATATATATACATACATATACATATAATCATACTATATACAATTTTTAGTCATTATTTCACTGTAGTATTCATGATAAGCACAATTTTAAAAGACCAGTATCTACATCAAAGGATGATAAAGTAGAGATAGTCTATGCAGAACTTGCAAAGAATCCCCAAACTAAGTCAATGATATTTGTTAAATGCATTTGGAAGATGGATGCTGGGAAGGATTGTGAAAAATAGAAGTAAAGACTATAATCATGGATACTTTCTTCAAGAAAAGAAGTAAATGATTGTCTTTGGTAAATTGTGCAGCTCTTTTAACACTCCTATGTTGGTCTAATGGTCTAATTTAATACTAATATTTTTCCCAGTAGTGCTGAGTAGCTGAATATCATAGAACATTACAACCTCCAAAGAATTAAAATTCCAAGTGACCCAATGGGTAATGGAAAAATGCACAGTTGGTGAGAGGAGACTATAGCATTTTATCAATAGTGACATGTGTAATAGATATAATCATAATTATAGTTAGCATTTATATAATGCATTAAGGTTTACAAAATGCTTTATAAATATTATTTCATCTTACCCTCACTACAACCCTGTGATCTAGGCACTATAATTATCCCCATTTTACCAGTGAGGAAACTGAGATAGTGAAGTTAAGTGACTTGCCCAGGATCACATTCTCAGTAAAGGTCTGAAGTTGGATTTGAACTCAGATCTTCCCAACTCTAAGACCAGCACTTTATCCTCTCTGTCACCTGACTGCTTTGTATGAAAGCTGAAAATAGAAATATATTATTAAGAAAATGTGTGAGGAAAAAGAATAATCATGAAGTGAGGGATAACAGATGGACAGTCTATGTGCTGAACAGTGTCCATAAAATGTGATACTTTCACAGTGTTAGAGAGAGCCCATGGGTAGGGGTGGGGAACCTGTGGTCTTCAGGCCACATGTAGCCTTCTAGGTCCTCAGGTGTGGCCTTTTGACTGAGTCTAAGTTTTACAGAACAAATCCTTTTATTAAGGGGTGAAGTTTGGATTCGGTCAAAGGGCCGCACTTGAGGACCTACAGGGCCACATGTGTCTCTGAGACCGCAGATTCCCCACCCCTGTGACCATAGCTATGACTATTTGCATGAGGGGTGGGAGTGGGAGGAAGATCTAATAAACCTTTCTGGCTTGTATACAGGCATAGAGTGCCCTTGATAACATTTTTTCTTTTTTCTTTTATTTTCTTTCTTTCTTTCTTTCTTTCTTTCTTTCTTTCTTTCTTTCTTTCTTTCTTTCTTGTTTGTTTTGTTTTGGGCAATTGGAGTTAAGTGACTTGCCCAGGGTCACACAGCTAGTGTCAAGTGGTTGGTCTGAGGCCGGATTTGAACTCAGGTCCTCCTGACTTCAGAGCTGTTGCTCTATCCACCATGCCACCTAGCTGCCCCGCATTTTCTTTCCTTGACAGGTTCAAATAAAGCAAAACGGAATTTATGCTCACATGTGATGTTTTCTTCTTTCTAGATTTTTGTTATTGACGTTTACTTTGATTCCCATTGCTCTTGAGCATATACTGCATCAAACATTTTATCATCCTGCTCCTTGGACATTTTCTCCTGATATGTATTTTCTCTCCCCTGGACAGCAACCACAAGCTCCTCTCAGCAGCCTATTAATTGTCAACAACACAGGTGAAGAAATTATATTAACATTTTCAAGTGGATCATTTTGAGTTTTAAAAACATCTTTTCCAATTCCCTAGTATGCCAGTAGATTTATTATCCAATCCAATGGTGTCTAAATGCTTTCGATTACACACCATTTCGATAAAATGCATGTACTTACACACAAAATAATATATGAATATTTAGGATATAGGGATAATACATGTGATTTCACTGCCATCAGGAACTGCTGATGAGAAAAGTTTCTCTACTCATGAAAGTATGCACCTTCTCTGTGACTTGTAACTTCAGAGTACTAAGAAGTTAATTAATTTATCCAAGATCATAAAGTCAGTATATGTCAGAGGTGAATCTTGACCCTAAACCTTTCTATCTTTGAGGCCATCTCTCTATCCACTACACCATGGTGCTTCTCCTGTAGTTGCATTTAATTGAGAAGGTTTTATTTTTTAACTGTTAATATACAAAATTTAAAAATTAATGTGATTTATTCCACTTTTATTTCATACCGTTCCCCCTCTTTTCATGCCTTAGAATGTACATAATATATTAGTACAACAATATATGTGTGTATTATAGATAAAGTCTATACATGTGACCCTGGGCAAGTCACAACCGCTATTTGCCTCAGTTTCCTCATCTGTAAAATGAGAATAATAATAGCACCTACATCCCTGGGTTGTTGTGAAGTATTTGCCACAAGGTCTGGCACAAAGTAGGTTCTATATAAATGTTAGTTACTGTTATTATTAGCATATACCCATATACTGCTATACTGCTATACTAATGTGCCAATATACTTGTACAAATTAGAAATTATTAATACTATTTTATCCATATATTGATTACATATATTTATTTGAATTATACACATATACTTTCATACAAGTATCTGTTTTATAAATACCCAAAATATAAGTTAAATAGGATGAAAACATGAAATAAAAATATTTAAAATTTTTTATTAGTGGTATAAAAGTCTTAATCAACAATTAATGAAATAAGATATCTTAGTAATAGTGTTATTGAATATGCTTTATTCTTTTTTTAATCATACTTCAACACTTTGTGATATAGCCGGTCAAAGGTCTAGCTCCAAGTTCAACTTATTTCTTCACTTGATCTCCCTCCTGCCATCTCCCTTTTATATTTACTGGCTCCTTTTAAAACTCAGCTCAAGCATCACCTCCTCCCAGGCCTTTCTCTATTCCCGCAGGTATTAGTGACCTATTCTTTTAAGTTACTTATATTTATCTTGTTATACTGGTTTGCGTACATGTGTATCTCTGTTAGAATGAATGCTTCTTCAAAGCAAGAACTGTTTTTACTTTTTCATTTTATACCCACTGCTTAGCACAGTTCAGGGCACATAGTGAGCACTTAATAAATGCTTGTCCATTGATTGATTGTCATAAATGAAAAAGACACCTTACAAAGAGACTTAGGTCCAAATGGAAGATATGCATTGCTGGGTTGAACTTGGTAAATCAAAATATTCATATCCCAATCTCATTCACCATATATTCAAAAGCTAAATTGAAATTTAGCTTGCAATTTTTGTCTTCTTTGATGTCAATCGTTTGTTCTTGCAAACTATCCAGAAAAGTAGTAGTAGTAGTAGTAGTAGTAGTAGTAGTAGTAGTAGTAGTAGTAGTAGTAGTAGTAAGTAGCAGCAGCAGCAGCAGAATAGAAGAAATTGTAGTGATGGTAATAGTAGTAAGTAGTAGTAGTAGTAGTAGTAGTAGTAGTAGTAATAATAATAATAGCTATCATTTATATAATACTTTAAGTCTTGCAAAGCACTTTATATGTGTTATCTGTCACAATAACAATCCTATGACGTATGAGCTATTATTACCCTCACTTTACAGATGAGGAAACCATGGCTTATAGAGGTTATATGATTTGCCTAGGGTGATACCTAGTGACCCTGTAAGTATGAGATAGGATTCAAATTAAGGTATTTCTGGCTCCAAGTTCAGCATTCTATCCACTGTGCCACTTAGCTGTTAGATACATACATACATACATATATACATACATAGACACATATATTTAATAACAGGTTCAAAACCCATATAAACTTTTCATATAGAATATTTTAAAAAAGGTTAAAATTCTGTTTCCAAATTTAAATGAACAGAAATGAAAGTTTCTGTGGGAGACACAAAACACTTTGGCATTAAAAGTTTCATTTTTAAATGTCTCACTAAGCATTACTTCATGTTATCATTTGCTATTATCTCAAGGCACAATGTGCACTGGAGGGAGAGGTTTATCATTAACAGAGATGTCAATCCATTTTTCAAATAATCTTCTTAATGGTTTCTATTGGGGAGGGGGCTGACTTCTTTTTTAATTTGATTAAATCATCATTGTTTTTAATCTCATAATGTGATTGGCAGAGAGCTCATACTAGGAGTGGGAGAAATGCCAGTTCTACCATTTTCTTGTTTGCTTATATTCCCACAATTATCATTATCTTCAATCTATAATTTCTTTGCAGAAACTTTCCTAAGTCTTTTGTTCAATTTGTGAGAGTTAGTTTACATAACATTAGACGATAAAGTCTTTTAAGCCATTTAACTGGGCACACATAAACTTAAATATTTCATAATATATTGCAAGTAAACAAATGAGAGCACCATTGTCCACCTATCCATGTAGACACATGACTATCTCACATTCAAATTTATTAAGGGTGCTGGTATTAACCTACATACCAAATATCTATAAACCTTAATTTCTCTTTTTAAAATTCTATTGATTTTTATATCACCTACATTTTTCATGTGTCCCTCACCTCCTCCCTTTCCAGAGAGTTATCTTTTATAATAAAGAATAAAAAAGAGAAAAAAAGTTCATCAAAACTAGCCAACTATAAAAAAAGTTATAGCATTACATGCAGTGCTCCACAACTGTAGTCTACTACTGCAAAGAAGTGTTTTATTATATCTTCATTGGGACCAAGCTTGGTCATTATAATTTCACAACATTCAATTTTGATTCTTTTATTGTGGTGGTGGTTTTTTTCCATTAAACTTGTAGTTATTGTGTGCATTACATATGGTATGTACTTCACTTTGAATCAATTCATAGATCTTCTTGTGCTTTTTTGTGTTCATCATTTCTGTTTTCATTGACTGTCCCCCATGCCTGGAAAGTTCTCCCTCCTCATTTCCACCTCCTGATGTCCCTGACTTCTCTCAAGTCCCAACCAGAATCCCACCCTCTACAAGAAGCTTTTTCCCAATCTCCCTTAATTCTACTGCCTTACCTGTATCGATGATTTCCAATTCATTCTCTAAATAATTCGTTTGCACATAGCATTTATATATTGTCTATCCCTGTAGACTGTGAGCTACTTAAAATCAGGGGCTGTCTTTTGCATTTTTTTTGGGGAGGGATCTGCAGTGCTTAACACAGGGCCTGTTACATAATTGGTGCTTAACAAATGTTTATTAGCAGCACAGAAAAATGCCATAACATTCATATACTATAATTTATTTCGTCACTCCCCATTTGTTGGCATTCACTTTGCTCCCAGTCATAAAGTTTAATTTCTTTGAATTTTAGATTCTTAAAAATAAAGTCTAATATTTACTTACCATACCCCTGTGAATTATCTTATACAGAGAACCTACTTTGGACACCACTGACCTATTCTACATAAGTCTTCTCTCCCATAATGCAGATCACAAACAACACATGATTGTCTACCTTGCTCGATTCCCATCCATCTCTCTCTACAAATTCAGTATAGTGGGCCCAACATGTTGTGGCTGTCCTAAAATTCTTTTGTGAACACTAATGGAACAATTGGGCTCCTGAGAGCCCATCAGTGATCCTTAGAAAACATAAACCCTAAACTTTGTCAGAAACCTAAAAAACACCTCTTGGAGGAGGGTATAAGGAATGACGTGTCTGGAGTCTGTGGTGATTTCTGAGAGTATGTATCCCAAGCAGAGGATTACAAGAAGGATTAAAGTTTTCAGCAAAGCTTCCACAGAACAGAACACATATTAAATGATTTCATATTATAAAAGGAAAGGGAAAAGATAATTTCAACAGATACTTAATGCTGAAACTGCAAGCTGAGAGGAAGGAGTAGACCAGTAGACGACTGAAAGACTGAGTTTCACTACTAGAAAAGTGAATGGGTTATAAGGGTTTTTTTTTAATATGTAATTTTAATTCCATAAATTACTTGGATATAGAAAATCTCTTTTAAAAATTGTAATATACAATGATCTAAGACAATTACAAAACAGTTATGATGGAAAATGCTGTCCACATTCAAAGAAAGAACTATAGAGTCTGAATGCAGATTGAAACATACTATTTTCACTTTTTTTTGTTTTTTCTTTCTCATGGTTTTTCACTTTTTTTCTGATTCTTCTTTCACAACATAACTCAAGTGGAAATGTGTTTAACATGACTGTACATGTATAGCCTATATCAGATTGTTTGCTGTCTTGGGGAGTAGCGAGAGAAGGAAGGGAGGGAGAAAAATTTGGAACTCAGAATCATAAAAAATGAATGTTGAAAAGTATGTTTACATGTGATTGGAAAAAATGAAATACTATTAAGTGGAAAATCACAATAAAGAAGCTTGCAATGTCGATGATAAATTATTTTTCATATTACTAAAACTTGAATAAAAAAAATTCTGATTCAAGAAACCTGCCTTATGCCATTTTAACAGAATCTGTTGCGGACTTGCACTGTCATTTTTGCTATCATAAATATAGATTGAACTTAATACAATATGGGATGTCTAAATTTGAGAGTTTAAAAAAAATACTACACTTTAATGATTTTCTGGTGTCTTCTTCTTCTTAAATGTTTATTAGGATCAAATATTGAAGATTTTATAAATTCTCTGAAGCACCAGAATATAGTTTTGGAAGTAGATGACTTTGAAAAAAGAAATGGAACATCTGACCTTGCCTACAATGGAGCTATAATAGTATCGGGCAAAAAAGAGGTAGGTTGGTCTCTATTCTCAGCTTTTCGTCAAAGTATTTATATTATTCTGTCTAATAAGATGGAGAGAAGGTTACTCTCACTAGTTTACATGGGCTGGCAGTTAGAAAGATCTACTAGCTTGTTTTGGAATCAAATACAAAATTCTTCACAATCTTGACAAATAGACAAATTACTTCATATATCAATTTTTCTTTCTAAATGAAATACTTTTTAATTTTATAGGAGAAGTTATCCATTAACTTCATTAGCCAAACTCCCAATAAGATAAAAGATGCTGCTTTTATAGTTTTAATATTAGTATTATGTATGAACATGAAAATCAATCAATAGGCATTTACTAATGAGGAAGATAGTTGATGGACTTAAAGTCAGGAAAATTTGACTGAGTTCAAAACTTACTAGCTATAGCTTACTAGCTTACACTTACTAGCTATATGAAGGCATTTAATCACTGGGCAAGTCATTTAATCACTGATTGCCTCAGTTTCCTAATCTGTAAAATAAGGATAATAATAGCACCTACCTCTCAGGGTTGTTGTGACAATCAAATGAGACAATATTTGGAAAGTGCTTTGCAAACCTGAAAATGCTATTTGTTGTTATACGTTTGTTTCAATAGTGTATGCTTCTTTGTGACCTCATTTTGTGGTTTTCTTGGCAAAGATACTAGAGTAGTTTGCCATTTTCTTCTCAAGCTCACTTTACAGTTGAGGAAACTGAGGCAACCAGGGTTAAGTGATTTGTCCAGGGTCACACATCTACTAAGTATCTGAAGCCATATTTAAACTCAGGTCTTCCTGACTCTAGACCAGCCTAGGAGATCTATCTGCTGTGCCACCTGGTGCTCTATAAATACTATTACATGTGCTATTATCCTTGTACTACTAGGTACCAGATATTGTGCTAAATGCTAGTGGTTTAGAAAAAAAAATCCCTGCCTTCATTCTAATGAGATGAAATTATGAATGACTATAAAATGTAGTGAAAAGGTTGCTGGGCTTAGAATTAGGAAGAAATGGATTCAAATCCTGCCTCTGACACTTTTTAATTATGTAAATATGAAAGTAAACCTACCTCAGTCTCATGCAACTCTCTGAGACTAACCCACTGTCATAGATGATTGTGATGTACCTTAATAGAGAGAGATTCCATAACAAGATTATAAATCCTTGATATGTGAAAATCATAGCATTCACTGGACAAACTCCTAAATTCAGCTTTATATATGACATGAATAAATGCCCCTACATTGTCTGGTGTAAAACATGGAGCAGCCTGTGTAATAAACTATACACTCCATTGTTTTAACAGTTAACTCTTTCTCCCTCAATAGCAAAGAAACATCCATGAAGGAAAATACTAGAACACTACAAATTATGTATTTCTTGTGGCTAAATTCCAAAACTGCTTTTTGTGAAAATTGGTCAACTCTCAATGTCAGCTCAAAATAATGTCTAATAAATAAAATACTGTGAGAAACACAGATCTGGATTATGCCTCTCTTTTGGATTATATGCAGGAAATTAAAAATCCATTTAGCTTAAGCTAAATCACTGAGGACTCCATCCACATTTAGACATAATCTTTGTGTATTTGGGGGAGGCGGAATCAAGAAAAATTTATTTAATTATTTTAAACCCTGTTTTGGTAAAAAATTTGAGCTCCATATTCTCTTCTTCCTCCAAGGCAAGCAATATGATATCAATTTTACATGTGAAATCATGCAAAATATATTTCTTTTTTAGCCATGTCACAAAAAAGCAAGAAAAATAAAGTGAAAATTATATTTCAATTTGCACTCAGAGTTCATCAGTTCTCTCCAGATGTAGATAGAATTTTCTGTCATTAGTCCTTTGGAATTGTCTTGGATCATTTTATTGATTGGAGTGGCCCAGTCTTTTGCAATTGATCATCATTATAACATTGCTGTACTATGTACAATGATATCCTGGTTCCTGGCTCATTTCACTTTGCATCAGTTCATATAGGTCTTCTAGTGTTTTTCTGAAACCATCTGCCTCATCATTTTTATAACACAATAGCACTCTGTCATAATCATATGCCACAGCTTATTCAGTCATTCCGCAATTGATGAGCATCCCCTCAATTTTCAATTCTTTGCTACCACAAAAAGAGCTGCTATAAATATTTTTGCACATATAGGTCTTGTTCCTTTTCCTTTGATCTCTTTGGAATACAGATCCAGAAGTGGTATGGCTAGGCCCAAGGGTATGCACAGTTTTATAGCCCCTTGGGCACAGTTCTAAATTGCTCTTCACAACAGTGAGACCAGTTCACAATTCCACCAACAATTCATTAATGCACCTGCTTCCCCTCATGCCCTTAGCATTTGTCATTTCTGATAGCTGTGAGGTGGTACCTCAGAGTTATTTTAATTTGCATTTCTCTAATTGCTAGTGAGTTAGAGCATTTTTTCACATAACTATAGATAGCTTTTGTTTCTTCTGAAAACTGCCTGTTCATATCCTTTGCCCATTTATCAATTGGGAAATGGCTCTTATTTTTATAAACTTAACTTAATCCCCTATATATTTGAGAGATGAGGTCTTTATCAGAAAAACTTGCTGTGAGATATTTTTGATATTACTTCACTGTGTATTTCACTCTTTAGCAAAATTTAGTTTCCCTGATTATCTCTTTTAATAGCATCGATTTCAGCATTTGTTTTGTCTGAGATTATGATTGCTACCCCTGCCTTTTTAAATTCAACTGAAGCATAATAGATTCTGCTGAAACCCCTTATTTTAACTCCGTATGTCACTTTTCAACAACATATTATTGGATTATAATTTTTACTATCTAGTTCTACTTTATGATTGAGCTTATCCCATTCACAATTATGATCACCGTGTATTTCCCTCTATTCCCTTTTCTTCTGTTTATTCTATTTTCTCTCTGTTTTTATCCTGCCCCTTCTCAAAAGTCTGTTTTGCTTCTGATTACTGCCTCCCTTAGTCCATCCTCCCTTTTTTCATCCTTCTCCTCTCCCCCCCCCCTCACCTTTTCTTTTATTCCCTTTCCTTCCTATTTCCTTGCTGGGTAAGATAGATTTCTACACCAAGCTGAATGTGTGTATGTATATAGATATATAGAGAGATATAGATATATTCTTTTCTCTTTGAATCAATTCTGAGAAGTTTGAAGTATAAGAATTACCTGCCATTCCTTCCCCCCCATAATCTTTTTAAGTAAAAGCTAAATTAAAAACATAATTTCTCAAGAATGAAAAATATGTAACGGTAAGATAAATGAGGTTGTATACTAGCGTAGGTGTTACTTCTGACTCAATGAAGCTTCAGGACCTTGTGCTCATTCAACATTCAAAAGCTAATTTCCTAAAATAGGTTAACAAACTACAATCCAAAGACCAATTCAGCCCACCATCTACTTTTGTACTGGTTTATAAGATAAGAATGGTTTTCATATTTTTAAATAGAATAAAATTTTATTTAAAAACAGCATTTTTAACTCACTGCCCAGATTTGACCTGCTGAGTAGAGTTAGCTCACCTCTGGCCTAGAACATCCTATCAATTTTTTTAAACTTTGATATATGTAAATTAGAGCTCTCAAGAGCAAAAAAGTTCTATATCTTATGTCTTGTCATAGAAAAGTCCCTAATTATAGAGCACTTCAAATCAAATATCCATTCTAACAGGAAAAGAAAAGTCAAATGATGTATACAAGCTACTTCCATACCCATTGCTATAATTAGTTCTCAAGGAAAATGACAATATCAAAGTATCAATGAAATCAATAAAAAAATTTTTATCACAACAGGGACATTTATGGTTTATTAGCACAAAAAATTAAAAATTTGTGTTTACCCTCCAACCCCATGTGCTTATTTGCTGATCATGTTGGTTTTGAGGTAAAAATAATTGAAACTCTAAATAAGATAATAATAGATAATTATTCATGAAAATTTATTATATAAAGTGCCAACAATCCTGCTTTGAAGATATATGAATTTGTAAATGATTGACTTACTTTTTCATTTTCTACCAGAAAAAAATAAATATTTTCTATCCTTTGGAAATTGGGATGAACAGTGGTATTATCTTATTCTGAGGCCTAATTTTTCTTTCTTTTGAATCTTAGGTTCATTTGTCACGGGAAATACTTCAGCCCTGTTAGCTTCTAGGAGATTTTGACATTCAAGTCCATTTAAGTGACAAAAATATACAGCTAAAAACAAAAATCAGCTAAATGGCTAATAGCACTATTCACTGCCTATTCCAAAATTCTGATTTCTTACACATGCTAGATAAAAATCACAAAATGTGGCAAATGCTAAAATTAAACATACCTCATAGTGCAGACCATAGTCTTAATAATTTAAGTAATATTTGTATATTTTCCATTTGAACACTTATATTGGCTCTTTGATGACTTTGAATTCATGCTTGTTTTGTTTTTAAGGATTATAGATTTTCTCTAGCATGTAACACCAAGAGACTGAACTGCTTTCCTGTCCTAATGAATATTGTCAGCAATGGAGTACTTAGAATGTTGAACTCCTCAAAGCAAATTCACACTGAGAAAAGTCTCTTTCCTTTGGTAAGTATGAAAATGTCTCAATTATCATTCACTGTTAATGAATGAGTACTTTGAGTGAATAAGTTTCACAGAAAACTGAAGCTTGCCACTTTTTATGCCAAAATTATTTTTATCATTTTTTTATGAACAGAAAGTTTTCTGAAAGATATTTTACTTTTCTACCTCATTAAACAAAGCATACTGAGCTTATTGTAGAAACCTTCTATCCAATTTCTCAGAGTCACTGAAGAATTTTAACCTTAGGGAGGACATAGAGGCCATCTGGTCTTGCCTCAATTCACAAGTAAGAAACTGAGGCTTACTGACTAAGAACCTAAGATCAGATGATTCCTCTCACTTTACATTAAGGGCAGTGAGGCACAGAGATCTTAAATGAGTTGCTTAAAGTCACAAACAAACCAATGTCACAGAATCACAGAATTTCTGAAGTGAAAACAATCCCGGAGGTTATCCAATCCAACTATTATCTGAACAGGAACCTCCTCCAAAACATAACCAATAAGTTATCTCATCTTTACTTCTTCACTGGATCCAGTTAGAAGGAATCTCAGAAGCTATCTGGTCTGATCCCATCACAAATAAGGAAAGTAAAACCCAGGGAAGTTAAGTATTTGTCCAAGGTCACACAGAAATTAAGCATCAGAGATGATATTTGAGTCTATGTTTTCTGACTCCTGAGCTGGTACTCTTTCCACTGAAACATGCGGCTTGCCATCGCATTTTCCACTACATCATTTATCTTCTCAAAGAAATAGGAAAACTCGGAGTCATGGGAATTGTGTTCAAATCTCAGTCTGACATTTGTTACTATATAACGCTGGATGAATCACTTAACCTTAATAAACTTCAGTTTCCTTAATGGCAAAATGAGGGGATGGGACTTGTTGCTCAGAAATTTTCAGTCGTGTCTAACTCTTTGTGACCTTATTTGGAGTTTTCTTGGCAAAGATACTAAAGTGGTATGCCATTTCCTTCTCAGCTCATTTTACAGATGAAGATATGGAGGGCCAACAGGGTTAAGTGACTTGCCCAGGATTACACACACAGCTAGTGTCTGAGGCAAGATTTGAACTAATGCCTAAGGTCTCTTTTAGCTCTGGGTCTAACCTAATCTCATCCCTACACTGTAATGCTCCCACTAATCCAGAATATTTTAATACTTTAAGAATCAGTTACTGAGCACTGGGTTTGGAGTCAGGAAGACTCATCTTTGTGAGTTCAAATCTGGCCTCAGATACTTACTAGCTGTGTGATCCTGGGCAAGTAATTTAACCCTATTTGCCTCAGTTTCCTCAGCTGGATAGAGAGCTAGAGAAGTAAATGGCAAACCACTCTAGTATCTTTGCAAAAAAAAAACCCAAATGGGGTCACAAAGAGTCAGACACAACTGAAACATGTGAAGTGTGTAGTGGTTATTTTCTCTAATAACTCAGATTACAACCCCTCTAAAACTAGTAGCAAGTCTTGAAAAGGAACTCTACCTGAAAAGTTTATCACCATTCAGTCAACCTGCTAGTGAATCTCTCTGAAACTAGGCTCAAACAATGTCACCCTACATGCAAAGACTTTCCAGCTTAATTAGACCTGCCAGAGCTCATGCTCCATATGACTTTAGGATGAAAGATCACACCAACACTTTTAGCTTCAGTACTTCACTAGCTGCAGAAAATGTGCATTATCACTGGTCATAACTTTCTGTTTTACTTTTTATACCTCTTTGGCTGACAACATTTACTCTTTTTTCTTTCAGGAAGTTGAGCCCAGCTCAATGACTAACACAGAAGCAGATGTGTTCTTGATATTGGCAACAACCAGTCTTTCTCCTTATTTAGCAATGAACAGTATCATTGATTACAAAGTAAGAAAAAGTCACTGAAATGAATTTACTTTAATAATTGAAGGTGGATGATTTTATTATATATATGTGTGTGTATGTATATGTATGTATGTATGAAGTGTTCCCCTTGAACAATGTTTGAATGTTTCCATGAAAATCATTTAATTCAGTTCCTATGTGTATTTTGCAATAGTAGGTGCTTAATATTGCTTGAAACAAGTGAGAGTTCATCGTGCATCATATTGTTTTGATGCAAAAGAGAGACACAAAGTAATTAATAATGATAGATATCAATCTGGAGGGAGATGACAGCCAGAGAGGTATCAAGGTAATAAATATAATAAACAGAGAAGTTCTAAGTGGACAAATTCACTAAAGAGAAAGACAAGAAACAGAAAAACTTAGGATAAAGGAAAATTGCCTCCCTTAAGTTCAATCCAAAAAATCAGATACGCCTTCAAGCAAATGCATTATTATTGACAGGACAGTGTCAGAAAACAATAAAGACAAAGAGATGGTAATGAAAAAATTGGCATGAATTTGGAAAAAATGTTGAGCTTAGCCATCTATTGTCATTAAAAAGACTCCAGCACTATTCAGTATAACAATGGAGCAAACTCAGAAGGTGGGAAGTACAGGCATTATTATTTGCACATTAGGAGACTGAAACCCCAAACGGTTAGTGGTTTGCCCCAGGTCACATAGCAAGTTAGTGGCTAGCTGGCATTCAAACTCACATATCTGGATTCCAGGTCCACCTCTTTCCACTACAATATTTTCAAGGCCTAAAAGTTGTATTGAAGAATTAAAGCAGGGACAGCTAGGTGATACAATGGAAAGAGTACCAGCCCTGAAGTCAGGAGGACCTGAATTCAAATGCAGCCTCAGACCAAACACTTGACACTTAGTACTGTATGACCCTGGGCAAGTCACTTAACCCCAATTGGCAAAAAGAAGAAGAAGAAGAAGAAGAAGAAGAAGAAGAAGAAGAAGAAGAAGAAGAAGAAGAAGAAGAAGAAGAAGAAGAAGAAGAAGAAGAAGAAGAAGAAGAAGAAGAAGAAGAAGAAGAAGAATTAAAGCAGCTAAGAAGAAATTTATGGAAATTTAATTGGGTCATAAATATAAAAACGGATGAATCCTCCTCATTTTTAAGGCTTAAGGAACAGACACAGTTCAATTTGTAGATATTGGTACACAAAACACAAAGATACAAAAAGTATGAAACACTTGAAAGGAATATTGAAGAGAATATCTTTTTTTATCTACATTTTTGTTGTTTATCTGGAATAAATTTGGTTGAGTTTTGTCAGTTTAGAGAATTTATTTATTTCAGTTTTGATAATAACAAAAATATATTCAAACTATATATATATACATACATATATATAATTATTGTTTTTAACATTCAAATGGCTTTATGATCTTATCAGTTCAGGAAGTATGTATCGTATTTTCAATTGTATATGATTCTGCATGATCCCATTTGGGGTTTTCCTGGCAAAGATACTGGAGTGCTTTGCTATTTCCTTCTCCAGCTCATTTTACAGATGAGGAAACTGAGGCAAACTGGGTTAAGTGACTTGCTCAGGGTCACATAACTAGTAAGTGTCTGAGTCCAGATTTGAACTCACAAAGATGACTCTTCCTCACTCCAGGGACAGTGTTCTATCCGCTGCACCACCTATCAGTTCAAGAATTCCCTCCAGTGATATATATTACAACTTACTTATGCCAGCTGATTTGATGTGACTCTTGTCCAGATCTTCCCCAAAGCTTACCATAAGGAATCCAATCAGCTTGCTGGTGGTCTTCCTTACTTTCTCCTGACATTGCTTGGGTACTAGTGGAGCACTCTGGCTATCCACCTGTCATCCTTCATTCTTGCCATGTGATCACCCAAAATTCTTTTCCATACATTTGTTTTATGATGTTTTTTACTCCCATTATTCAGAGTTCTTTTATGTTGCAGCCAATTCGGATCTAACATTGACCACCCCTTGTCTTTTGTGTCATAATTATTTTTAGTTCCTCAAATGTAGTTATGTTTGATGTCTTGCTGCTATATAGCAACACTAAGAGAATATTAAGATTGAAAAGGTGAGTCTTTGCTCTCATGGGAAGCTTGGGTTCCATATAAGAAACCAACACTAACAACTGACCCATATGCCTATGATCTCATGAATACAGAATATGAGAACTATCTGCTCATGTTCTCCTTAGCTTTCACTGACGGCAGCATTTCATTTTGAACTTTAGAACCTGGGGAGGTACAGCTCATACAAGCAGGGAATGACAACTACTAGAGTTGAAGTCAGAAGGACCTGGTTTTGAATCCTAGTTCTGCTATTCTCTACTTGTATGAATTAAGGTCAAGTCATTTAACCTTGGTCTTAGTTTTCTATTTAAAAAAAGGGGAGGGGGACAGAGCCAAGATAGTAGAGTAAAACCAGTGACTTGCTTGAGCTCTCCCCCAAACCCCTCCAAATTCCTATTAAAAAAATGGCTCTAAACAAATTCTAAAGAAGCAGAACCCACAAAAAAGACAGAGTGAAACAAATTTCCAGCCCAAGATAACCTGGATGGTCGATCTGGAAAGGTATGTTCCGCCAGGCTGGGAGAGGAATGCAGTTCAGTGTGGGCAAGCAGGCAAAGACCAGGCCTCAGGGAACCTAGAGCAGCCCTCAGAAGACTGAATCATGGGCAGCTGTGGCAGTTTCCAGACTTCTCAACCCACAAATGCTAAAGACAACTTAGAAGGTCAGTGGAAAAGTCTGTGACTAAAGTGAGAGATAGAAATGCGGTCTCAGCCCCAGTACCCAACCTTGGCCTCAGGGTGGTGGCTGCTTTCAGAGCTTCTGAGCCACAGACTAAGTGGGAATTGGGTGGCTGATCAGCGGGGGATTGCAGAGATCCCTGTGTTGGTGCAGGATTCTCTTACTTTTCCCGTGCTTGGATCTGGGTCACAGTTCTGGGTGGCAGTCCTAAGGTGAGGAGGAGCACTGACACGGTGGAGCTTGTAATGGCAGTACAGATGGAATCCTCCTCACAGTTCCAAGACAGAAAGATTGCTTGTGGTCACTCATAGACCAGAGCACAGGCCAGGAAAGGAATAAACACCTCTCCCTTGATCATACCACCGTGGAAGAAATGAAAATTTATAGGTCCCTAGAAATGTCTCTGAAAACAGCTGCACAGAACCTCTGAAGCTTCAGACAGCATATTCTCCAAGCTGGAAGCAGGCCCCTACCTTAACAAAGAGTTTAAAACTCAAGTAATTGGCTGGGATCATGAATAAACAAAGGTCCAAAAAAAGTCAGACCATAGAATCTTTCTTTGGTAACAAAGAAAATCAAAACATACAACCAGAAGACAACAAAGTCAAAGCTCCTATATCCAAAACCTCCAAGAAAAATATGAATCAGTTCCAGGCCTTGTAAGAACTCAAAAGGGATTTTGAGAAGCAAGTAAGAGAAGTAGATGAAAAACTGGGAAAAGAAATGAGAGTGATGTAAGAAAATCATGAAAAACAAGTAAACAGTTTTCTAAAGGAGACCTCCCCCCAAAAAAAATGCTGAAGAAAATAACACCTTAAAAATAGCCAAACCCAAATGGCAAAAGATGTCTAAAAAGCCAATGAGGAGAAGAATGCATTAAAAAGCAAAATTGCCCAAATGGAAAAGGAAGTCCAAAAGCTTACTGCATAAAATACCTCCTTAAAAATTAGGATGGAGGGGCAGCTGGGTGGCACAGTGGATAGAGCACCGGCCCTAGATTCAGGAGGACCTGAGTTCAAATCTGGCCTCAGACACATAACACTTACTAGCTGTGTGACCCCATTGCCTAGCCAAAACAACAACAACAACTAAAAATTAGAATGGAGCAATTGGAAACTGGTGAGTTTATGAGAAATCAAGACACTATAAAACAAATCCGAAAGAATGAAAAAATAGAAAACAATATGAAATATCTCTTCGGAAAAACAACTGACCTGGAAAATAGATCCAAGAGAGAGAATTTAAAATTATTGGACCCTCTGAAAGCTATGATCAAAAAAACAGCCTAGACATCATCTTTCAAGACATTATCAAGGAAAACCACCAGGATATTCTAGAACCAGAGGCAAAATAGAAATTGAAAGAATCCACCGATCACCTCCTGAAAGAGATCTCCAAAGGAAAAATCCAAGGAATATTGTAGCCAAATTCCAGAGTTCCCAGGTCAAGGAAAAAATATTACAAGCAGCCAGAAAGAAACAAGTCAAGTACTGTGGAAATACAGTGAGGATAACACAAGATTTAGCAGCTTCTACATTAAGAGACTGGAGGGCATGGAATATACTATTCCGGAAGGCAGAGGAGATAGGATTACAACCAAGAATCACCTACCCAGCAAAACTGAGTATAATCCTTCAAGGGAAAAATGGTCGTTCAGTGAAATAGGGGACTTTCAAGCATTCTTTTTTTTTTTTTTTGGCTAGGCAATGGGGTTAAGTGACTTGCCCAGGATCACACAGCTAGTAAGTGTTATGTGTCTGAGGACAGATTTGAACTCAGGTCCTCCTGAATCCAGGGCTGGTGCTCTATCCACTGCACCACCTAGCTGTCCCAACTTTCAAGCATTTTTGATGAAAAGACTACAGCCAAATAGAAAATTTGGCTTTCAAATACAAGACTCAAGTGAAACATGAAGAGGTAAACAAAAATATTTTTTTAAATACATTTCTCTTTCTTTTTCATTAGCAAGTCATTCATCTCATAGAGAAAAGTAATTAAAATCTCCTTTATAACCTAGCCAAGAGGAAAAAAATAACAGTGTGTTCCTAGACTCATGTCAATTAGTTTTTATTGCCCAATAAAAAGTTTAGTTTTCAATATTTGGGTCAAATGTCATTCATGACCTTCCCCATGAGATAGGTACACATTTTAAGAATCATTTGTGGTAGAAGAACACAGAAATTAGGAAATAATTTTTTTTTTGTCCAGACTATCTTCTAAAAGTAAGGAGACAATAAGAAAGCATGTAATTGCCAATTTACAGATTTGCCAAAAATTTATTAGTGTGCCTATGCTCCCTCAGCACCTCCAATATCAACATTTGCCATCTTTTGCCACCTTTGCTAATTTTCTGGGTAAGAAATAAAGTTTTATTGTTGTTCAAGTTTGCATTTCCCCTGTTGGTCAGTCTATGAACTTCCCCTGGAGAATATTAAAACATAGGATCCTAAAATAGACTTGCTCTGTACTTTGTGAAGTCTACTACCCCAAATCTTGAGTACATGTGTTATACCCAGTTCTCCACCACCACCACAAATTTTAAGATGAAGTGGTTAAGTTCTTGATATCTCTCATTGTGATATGGAGTTGATCCTGGATTCTTGAAGATTTAGCCCCAGTGATACCATAATCAAATTAGGAGAGCATGAAATAGTTTATCTATCAGATCTATGGATAAAGGAAGAATTTATGACCAAACAAGAGATAGAGAACATTATAAAATGTAAAATAAATAATTTTGATTATAGAAAATTAAAGGTTTTTTGCATAAACAAAACCAATGCAACCAAAATTATAAGGAAAGCAGAAATAAAAAAAAAAGGAAGGAGGACTATATGACTTCTGAGGTCCTTTCCAGCTTTAAATCTTAACACTATTCACAGTACTGTGCCATATTTAAAAAATTAATTCTTTGTTACTTGCTTCTTTGATTCAAGATTTTTAAAAATCTTAGTTGGGCAATGAATTGACTATCAGTCCACATCAATCTCTTTAAACAACTCACTCTTTAAACAGCTCTCCCTCATAGGAATAGCATACATGTGTATCATCAAAATTTCATTCTTAAAAACTTTTAATCTCCTTTAAAGACAACTTCACTTGCAAAAATTTAGGGCTCAAGATTTTCCTTGTGCTTTCTCTGAGCCCTTTGAAATATGCCTTTCTAAGATATAAGATTTAGGCAGAGCCAAGATGGTGGAGTAAAAGCAGTGACTTGCTTGAGCTCTCCTCCAAGCCCCTCCAAATACCTGTAAAAATGGCTTTAAACAAATTCTAGAGCAGCAGAATTCACAAAAAGATAGAGTGAAACAAATTTCCAGCCCAAGACAACATGGATGATTGATTGGAAAGGTCTATTGGGCCAGGCTGGGAGAGGAATACAGTTCAGTGTGGGCACGCAGACAAAGACCAGGCCTCAGTGAACCTGGAGTAGGCCTCAGGGGACTGAATCACAGGCAACTGTGGTGGTTTCCAGATTTCTCAACCTGCAAATGAGAAAGACAACTTAAAAGGTCAGTAGGAAAAGTCTGTGACCCTTGTGACAGAGAAGCTCTGTCCAAGCACCGGTCCCAGCATGGCAGCAGTTGCTTCCAGAGCTTCTTGGCCACGGACTGAGTGGGAATCGAGTTACTGATCAGAGGGAGATTGCAAGGATCTATTTGCCAGTGCTGAGGTAGGATTCTCTTGCTTTGCCTGTGCTTGGATCTGGGTTACAGTTCTGGGTGGCAGTCCTGGGGTGAGGAGGAGCACTGGCATGGTCGAGCTTGTGGTGGTGGTACAGAGAAAATCCTCCTCACAGTTCCAAGGTAGAAAAGAGTGCTTGTGGTCACTTGTAAATCAGAGCACCAGCCCAGGAAAGGAATAAACACCTCTCCTTTGATCATACTACCTTGGAAGAACTGAAAATTTACATGTCCCTAGAAGTATCTCTGAAAACAGCTGCACAAAACCCCTGAAGCTTGGGGCAGTACATTCTCCTGGAAGCAGACGCCCTACCTCAACAAAGAGTTTATAACTCAAGTTGGGATCACAAATAAACAAGGGTCCAAAAAAAGTCAGACCGTAGAATCTTTCTTTGGTAACAAAGAAGATCAAAACATACAACCAGAAGACAATAAAGTCAAAGCTCCTACATCCAAAGACTCCAAGAAAAACATGAATTGGTCCCAGCCCATGAAAGAGCTCCAAAAAGATTTTGAGAAACAAGTAAGAGAAGTAGAGGAAAAACTGGGAAGAGAAATGAGAATGATGCAAGAAAATCATGAAAAACAACTCAACAGCTTGCTAAAGGAGAACCAAAAAATATTGAAGAAAATAACACCTTAAAAAATAGTCCAACCCAAATGGCAAAAGAGGTCCAAAGAGCCAATGAGGAGAAGAATGCCTTAAAAAGCAAAATTGGCCAAATGGAAAAGGAAGTCCAAAAGCTCATTGAAGAAAATACTTCCTTAAAAATTAAAAAGGAGCAAATGGAAGATAGGGACTTTATGAGAAATCAAACATTGTAAAACAAAACTAAAAGAATGAAAAAATAGAAAACAACGTGAAATAATTCATTGGAAAAACAACTGACCTGGAAAATAGATCCAGGAGAAAGAACTTAAAAATTATTGGACTATCTGAAAGCCGTTATCAAAAAAAGAACCTACACATCATCTTTCAAGAAATCATCAAGGAAAACTGCCCTGATATAGTAGAACCAGAAGGCAAAATGGAAATTGAAAGAATCCACTGATCACCTCCTGAAAGAGATCCCCAAAGGAAAAAGGAATATTGTAGCCAAATTCCAGAGTTCCCAGGTCAAGGTGAAAATAGTGCAAGCAGCTAGAAAGAAATAATTCAAGCATTGTGGAAACATAAACAGGATAACACAAGATTTAGTAGCTTCTACCTTAAGGAACTGGGGAGCTTGGAATATAATATTGTGGAGGTCAAAGGAGACAGAATCACAACCAAGAATCATCTTCCCAGCAAAACTGATACAATCCTCCGTGGGGAAAATGGATATTCAGTGAAATAGAGGACTTTCAAGCATTCTTGAAGAAAATACCAGAGCTGAATAAAATTTGACTTTCAAATAAAATATACAATTTTTATCAGATTACCTTGGCTTTTCCTTTATCTATAATTAGTTCAAAGATATAGTGGTCACGTTCTTCAAGATTCTCATTATTTTAACTTCAAAAATTGTTAGGGCATGGAATCATAGATTTAGAATCGAAATGGACTTGATAGGCCATGGAGTCTAATCCTTTCATTTTTTAAAGGAAAGTGAGGCATATAGAGGTTAAGTGACTTGCTCAAGGTCACACATCTGGTCTGGGTTGGGTTTTGAACTTAAGTCTTACTAATCCCAGGCAGTTAGGTGGCACAGTGTATAGAGGGCCAGGCCTAGAATCAAGAAGACTCATCTTCCAGCATTCAAATCTGGCTTTAGAAACTTATTAGCTGTATGACTGTGGGCAAGTCACTTAACATTGTTGCCTCAGTTTCCTCATCTGCAAAATGAGCTGAAGAAGGAATTGGCAAACCATGCCAGTATTTTTGCACACACACACACAAAATGAGGTCATGAAGAGTGAGACACAACTGAACAAAAACAACTTACTAATTCCAAGCATGGTGCTCTATCCACCATGCAAAACAACAGTCATTTTTCACTTCTTCCACAGCATCATTGTTAATACATAATGCCTCTCCATACCTTTTGTTTATTCTGTCTCTTTTGAATAGGGAATACCCTTCCAAAGAAATATTCCAAATATGAGTTCAATCCTATTAAATCCTAGTGATAGTACCTGTCAGGATTAATTTACTTTCCTTGATTTAAACTCAATAATTTAACTTATTCATTGCAATATTTGTAAAATGTATGCATTCTTAGCTTTCTTTGTTGTTTCATTAAAAAAGATCTTAAATTCCAGCTCCACTTTATCCCTCTTTTATATTTATTTTTTTTTAATTAGATAAAAGCTCAAGCCCAACTAAGGATTTCAGGCCTTTACCCTTCAGCATACTGGTGTGGGCAGGCACTGGTTGATATTCCCTTGAACTTCATGATTCTTCTTGTGATATATACAATTTTATACATTCTAAACTCAGGTTTCTACACAGTGGACACTGGAATCCTATTTATTCAGGTAAGTTAAAAAGAAAAAGATCCTAAGAGAATTACACCAGAAAGTGTAGAATTTTACCTCTATTTTAAGAAAAGTGCGCAGGTGAGGCATGTCTTCATTCCTCTCCAGGCTCCAGTCTTGACTCTGGACTTTCCTCTGTAATGTCGAACGAAGGGTATCTTCCATCCCCTAGCTTCCTCTTCCTGCTTTTCAGTTCCTTTTGTGTATGTATTGTCTTCTCCCATTAGAATATAAGCTCCTTCAGGACAGAGACTGTCTCTTTCTGCTTGTATCCTGTTTGTTTTCCAGGAGTTTGCATTAAGTATGCTTAATGAATGCTTGCTGATTTAATCAGAATTGACAAGAAATAGTATTTTTATGTTATTCTGTAATATTTTCATGAGTAAAAGAACATTCAAAAATTCTTATGCATAACTGAATTTGCAAATCTTGAAGATTTGATGGTTTCTTGGAAAGTATCTGAACCCAATGGCAATTTCTCTTGCTTCCAGATCATCTGTATTATTGGTTATGCAGGCTCAAGTGTTTTCTTCACATATGTGATTTCATTCTTTTCTAAGAAAGGAAGGAAAAATAGTGGCATCTGGTCTACTTGCTTCTTTGTTGTAAGTATATATGTATAGTGAATCTTTATGTTTAAAAATATTGATATAAAATTAAGGCTAATATGTTTTATCCTGCAAAGGAGCTTTTGATGGAATTGAAATTACTGTAGAAAATGTTGTTTTACTGGTATATGAGATTCACAGTCTGTTTATTTTTACCTCTGTCTTTTTCTGTGTCTATCCTTGGATATTTCTTTTTCCCCCTTCAGTATATTTGAAAAGATACAAATTATTTGTATCTAATTATACTGAATGACTCTGTATTGATGCACAATCTATAAATCTAATAACTGTCAGTCCTCCCTTAATTATTATTCCAAGAGTCATGTTTTGGTCAGATCAGGTTAATATTAACAGAATACAGGCTTTTAGTTAGCCAAAAGTTGTGGGAGGAATTGCCCAGACCCTGACTAATAAAATTAATAAAAGTGAATAAAAAAATTCCTATAGCAGGTCTTTCTGTGCTTCTCTGGATTTACTATGGTCATTGTTTCTTACAGCACAATAATAGAATATTACATTCATGTACCAAAATTTGTTTTTTCATTTTATAATTAATATATATCTATTTTATTTCCAGCTCTTTGTTGCCGAAAAAAAAAGTGCTGCTATAAATCTTTTGAGAGGCAGCATAGAGTATGGGATAGAGCTGTCCTGAACCCAGGAATATTTGGGCTAAAGTCCTGCCACTGACACGTGGCTCCGTGATTAAGGGGAAGTCACTTAAACTCTCAATACTGTAGGAAATATAGGGAACATAAAGAGAAGGTGGAGCCTACATGAAGGCAAGGAGGTTTAATATATAATGTATATTAATTAATTGATATATAATTAATATGATATTAATTAATTGATATATAATGCTGTTTGGGGTCCAAAAAGTAGGTATGGCTGTAAAATAGTATAAATAGGGAGAAAGTGAAATAAATCTGGACAGGTGGGAGCTACATGTTCGAAGGTATCAAATGCCTTCCAAACTGAGGCAATACTCACAACAAAATGGTATGTGAACTAAAAATGGGACCATATGAAGAAAGAATACGTAGAGTATGAAAATACCTAAAAATATTGAAAGTGACTTAAACTTTCTGTTCATTTTTCTATGAAATTTTCTTACAGACTTCTATGATCACATTTGTCTTTATTCAAATAAGTGACTTTGAACTATATGCCATGCTTTATTGTACTGCATTCATACCCTTCTTCACTTTGTTTGGATGCACAATGCTGATTTTGGAGGTAAGCACTGGACACAACACAGTGTCACTGTACGTGTGACTATTTGATTAAAATCTTTGCGCCTTGGTGAAAACCACTGCAAAACGTAATCAGATGGATGCTGTGCAGCTCTGACCGGCTCTTAAAATCAGGTGAAAGTAGGAGAGTCCAGTGCTTAGCACAGTGCCTGGCACATAGTAAGAGATTAGTAAGTGTTTTTTTGACTGACCGACTAGCTGAGAGTCCAATTCTTCTACTCTCAAGAGATTAAATTCATAAACTAATAGGAGGAAGAATTCCATTGCTTTTTTTCTGGTTAGGGGAAAGAATTAGACTTCCTCTCCATACACTGATACAGTGGTGGGATAGATGCATAGAACTGCACCAATATGAGACTCTCTAAAGTAATAGTTCTTAACCTGGAGTCTGTGAACTGTGCTTTTAAAAATATATTTTGATGAGTATATGTGAATAATATTGCTTTCTTTTATAAACCTATAAATTTTATCTTATACACTTAAAAACTTTCTGAGAAGAAGAGGTCTGTAGTTTTCCCCAGACTGCCAAAGGGGTCTATGACATAAAAAAAGGTACCTTTAAGAATCCCTGCCCTCTAGGGTCATGGATAGGGGATACAAGTTCCTGGACAGAGTAAATAGCCAACTAACTACCTGGTGTGATTTTGATGACACCAGGAAGTATCTCCTGCCCAGAAATATAGCCCCTCCCACTAGTTTATTTATGTCTGAAATTCTACAAAATGAAATGTTTATTTTATATTAAGACTTATGACTTTTCTTAAGATTCAGGTGTCTTTGGAAGAGAAGTATTTCAATTAGCCTTTAATTTATTCACCATTATTCATGGATTTATTTGACATTCATAACCCTAGTGGAAAGTTAGGTTCTTTCTTCTGCTTAGGTATAGATAGGGAAGAGAAGGATGGATCTCTGCCTACTGGGAAAAGGAGGGTGGCACTAAGGAAAGAAATGGGAACAGAAAGGGGCATTTGGGAATACTAACAACAAACCTAGCTCACTTTGCAATTTTGTGAATCTCTGACGGTTAAAAAACTGCAAGGAAAAGTAGGGGACCTGAGAGTCAAGTATAGGCTGTGAAAATAGGAGTAAAGCAGATGATAGTTTTTTATCTCTATGCTCAAGTAATATCTACACCATGACATACAAAAGGGAATTGAACCGAGATGATCTTTGTCTGCATTATGCATTTATTTAGGTAAAATTCATGATATAGACAAACAAATTTAACTATGGTTTTCCTTTGGCAGGTCAACTATATGTATTTCAAAAAATTTAATATGGAGAATGTAATAGATGAAATCAATGAAAATGTACTCTTCATGATTCTCATAGTAAGAAGACTTTTCCTTTTGGATATATGTGTATTAAGGGTGTTAACATTTGCTATATTATATATTTTGTTTCATTTTAACTGACCTGATCTATAAAGTTTTACAAAGGCATGATGTTAAACTTACTGTATGTGGATGTATGTTTGAGAATGCGGGTATTTGCATATATATCACTCTTGAGTAATGCAGTTATAAGTATTGGATATCATGAAATTATAATTATTTAGAAGAAAATTTCAGAAGTCTTTGATCTGTTATGATATTTGTCTTTTCTTCTTGTACCACTGATTGGTGCATACTCCTTGGTGTCATTAATCAGTATGATGACTATAAAACCTGGAACAATATTTTGTAAAGATTTCATAACTAAATCTGAAACCAAAGCTTTAAGAATTGTGCAGCTATGTGAATTGTGTAGCTGTTGAGGAAAATGAGGTAATGGTTATCACCTTTATCCTCCTCTTCTGACTACTCTTTTAAATAGAACAGCTGGGCTGGGTTTTGTATTGTACACATTACCACCCAAATTTATGAGAAGTTTCCCCTCCTCTCCCCATTCTGTCTTGGTAAGAGAACAACAATAATTATGTTAAGGTAAATATGGAAGTAATTTCTACTATATTGTTACTGTTTGTCTTTCTTTCTCCTTAGCCTTACCTTCATTGTATCATTTTCCTTTTTGTTCTGCGATGTCTGGAAATGAAATATGGAAAGCAACCCATGAGAAAGGACCCTCTGTTCAGGTTAGCAAAGGGAAAAATAGATTTCAGTATTTAACTTATAAATTCAATGGAATAGATTTGAATGTAATGGAAAAACACTTGTTAAATTTACCAAGCATTGTGTTCATGCCTGGGAATAAAATTACAAAAGAGCAGCAGTCTCTGCTTTCAAGGAGCTAACATTCTGATTAAGGAATACTACACATACAGGTGAGTTCATCTGTAGGGGGCATAAGAAGGTCTATTGCACCTCAGAGTGCAATGGAAGATTAGATATTGAAGTCCAGCAATTCTTAGAGTGCGATGATAGGTCAGATGGCAATGCCCACAGTAGACAGCAGCAAGGCAGATAGTCTATTGGTCCACCATCTTACCAGAAGGACTGTAGGTGGTGACTCCCTACTAAGTGTTTAAGGATACAGCTACGTGGCACTGCAGAGAGCTGGGCCTGGAGTTGAGAAGACCTGAGTTCAAATCCAGCCTTGGACACTCACTAAGCTGTGTGATCTTGAGAAAATCACTTACCTCTATTTTCCTCAGTTTCTTCATCTGTAAAATGAGTTGGAGAAGGAAATGGTAAACCTCTTCAATGTCTTTGCCAAGAAAACTCCAAACTGAGTCACAGTCAGGCATAACTGAACTGACTAAACAGCAATAACAATAATCATAAATTGGTCAGTGAGGTTTTCTTGAGAAAATGTGTAAGAAACATAGTTGGTAATAAAGTGATACAAAAAACATAAAGTAGTATCCCTGCTCTTAAAGAGGCCGCGTTGTGGTTAGGAAAACAAATCTCACACATTCAAAGAAATTAGAAAACATTCAAGTGATCCCCTTGTAACAATACCGTCTTCTTTTTCATTCACATTCACAACCCTGGCATTGTCATTAAGTTTTTCCTCTCCTTCACACACATATCTAATCAATCGCCAAGTCTTGTTAATTCTACTTCTACAACATCTCTTACACCTCTCCTATTTTCTCTACTCATACAATGTCTACCCTAATTCAGATTCTACCTACTTCTCACCCATATAATGAAATAGCCTCCTGAATGGTCTCCCTACTTCTGAACACTCCACTCTGCAATTTGTCCTCTTATTAAAGCTGACAGATATTTCTAAAAACACAAATCTGTCTGTATGACTCCCCCATTCAAAAATCTTTAATCACTCTCTATTTCCAGTTAAGTTGATACAAATCTTCAGCTTGGCATTTAAACCATCCACAGTTTGCCTCCCACATGCCTTTTTTCTTCTTATTTTGTCTTACTCTCTTTCCTTCAGTCTACATTCTAGCCAAACCAGGTAACTCTCTGTTTCTCACTCAAGACATCCCATTTCTAGCCTCTGGGCTTTTGAACGCTGAGGCACTTATATCAGGAATGCACTCCTTCCTCACCTCTGCTTACTTAATAGAATCCCCGTTTTCCTTTAAAACAGTCAGTCAAAGAACATTGAGTAAACATCAATTAATATGCTAGGTACTGTGCTAAGCATTTTAGAAGGAAAAGTGAAAGACTGTTCCTCTTCTCAAGTAGCTCAATCAACTTTGGGTTTATTTATTTACACGTGTCCATGCTTTATCCCTCCAGGAAAAGGTAACCTCCTTGAGGGAAGTGACCACTCCATTACTTTCTTTTCGTCCCTAGGACCTAGCACATAGCGGGTGTTTAATAAATGCTTATTGAATTGAGTGACTGAGGTACGATCTGAGCCAGGCTTTGAAGAATGTGTAGGGTTTCAATACGCAGAAAGGAGGAAAGTCAGAAAGGACCCAATACTAGCCAAGGCAAAGAGATAGAAATGAGAATGGGTATGCAAAGAATAGCATAAGACCAATCTGATTGGAATAGAGACCTGTGTTCATGCAGTAGTGGAGAATGAGGTTGGATGCAGGGAATAGACTCCCAAAATGGAGCCTTTTGTGAACCATGCAGATGAGTTTAGTTTAAATATAAATGGAGTAGATCATGAAATATGATCCTTAGTTCTTAAACAAGTTAAATTTTAGTAAAATTAGAATGACAGTGGTTTGTAGGGTGGTCAAATGGAATGGGGAATAAATGAACGGATGGGGGCAGCTAGGTGGCATAGTGGATAGAGCACCAACCCTGAAGTCAGGAGGACCTGAGTTCAAATCTGGCCTCAGACCAAACATTTGATACTTACTAGCTGTATGACCCTGGGCAAGTAACTTAACCCCAGTTGCCTAAAAATAATAAAATAAAAGAAAATAAAAGAAATAAGTGAATGGATGTAAAGGAAACCAACTAGAAGTCTGTTGCATGACTGTGCATGAGTTCCTAATGGCAGTGAAATTGAAAAAACAGGAAAATCTGAGAGATGTTTGAGAGAAAGAAATGATAACATTTGGTGATAGACCGAATCTAGGGGATATGAGACGGAATAGTCAAAGCTGACTACAAAGAGAAGAAATACAATAAGGAAAAGGGAACAAGCATTTACTAAGTGCTTACTACACTTTGTTAAGCACTTTATGAATCTATCTCATTATATCCTCACAACAATCTTGTAAGGTAAGTGTTATTGTTATCCTCATTTTACAGTTGAAGAAACTAAGGCAGACAAAAGGGAAGGTAGTCCAACCTCTTTGGAAACAAAAATAAAAATTAGTAGAGAATACCAATTTTTGGCATCAACTGTATCTGGAAATTAATATTTGTGGCATTATTTTTGTCCTCTGTAGAATTTTCCCAACAAATAGTGATGGTGGTCCCAATCCTGAAGAACCAGAAAATGAAGATGAAGATGTTCAGGCAGAAAGAACTAGAACTGCAAGAGCTCTGACTGCTTCAAACCTAGATGAGGTGAAACTCTATGTGTAGATGTTTACTGAAATGCTTGGAAGATTGAGTCAATTCTCAAATAAATAATCTTTAATTTATTCTCCAGCTATGAAGTTAAAGAAGAGTAGTATTTTATTTTTCTATTTGAGGAAAATTTGCTTTAAGCACAAAAAATAATTTTTAAAATCCCGAAAGCCTTGGTGAGTCAAAGGCCTTGGATAAGCTGTATTGTAAGGAATGTTGAACAGGTGTTAGGTCTGTGGATTTGGCCTCTTTTTAATGTTAGCTGTGATAAGGCCTGCACTCTTTTTCTGTGGGTAGAGAAAAGCAAGCTCATAGAAAACATATTTTAATTCCATTGTACTTTCCTGCACGGAAAAAGGAATTTTCCATCTATGAACACAAGCTGGAACAGTACCCTCAATTCTGTCAGCTAAGTGTTGCCCTCAATGTAACCTAATTTGTTCAGTGGCTTGGGACAAGGACAGAGTTGAGAGCCAGAGAGAACACAGCATCCAACCAAGGAACCAGGAGGAAAATCAAACTCTAGTTTCTTTTCCAGAAACCCATTATTATTGCAAGCAGTCTGCGAAAAGAATATGAAGGCAAGAAGAAAAGTTGTTTTTCAAAGAGAAAGAAGAAACTGGCTACAAGAAATGTCTCTTTCTGCGTTAAAAAAGGTCTTAATTCACAAAGATTTTGCCTGGGGTCTCTCTTATCTGTTCTATAGATTCAGCTGTAATTGTTCTAGATTTTACACATAGTTCTTTTTTTTTTTTTTGGAGGATGGATTCAGAAAGTTAAAAGTATCTGGAGAAAATTACTAATCTGCCATCTTTTTGGTCACTCTCCAACTTAGCCACAAACCTATAAACTTTCTATAGAGGTAACTGATATAGGATTCCAAGAAGCATGGAAATTCTTATGACACAGGTATCTTATTCAAGGAGAACTGACTAGGCTTGTGTTACTTTTTCTAAAAGGGCCTTTGGACAAATGACTATTAGATCAGTAGGAATTCCATTTATCAGTTATAGAGGCAGGATTTCCACCTAAGCTTCTAGACACTTGATTGCAATAACCCAGGAGTCAATATATCACTGTGCTTAATCTGGGACCATGGCAAACCAACCTGCCAGCCCAATATTTTGTTGGTATAGTAGTCAAAGATTTTCTGAGCTAAAATCCTCATTGCTTACTTAATGCCCTGGTATTGATATAGACACTCCCCTTACTCAGTACATACCTGCTTCTGGCCTTCTATCAAACACCAAGCCACAAAGCAAGTTATCTTGGGATTTTATTCACAAGAATAAAGGTGCAACCCTTCATAAGAATATAGGGTCCAGGCAGTCAGGAAGTACCTTCACTGATTATCATTCCCTTTTCCTTCCAGGTGAGATACTGGGATTGCTAGGACACAATGGAGCTGGCAAAAGTACATGTATTAGGATGATAGCTGGAGAGACAAGACCAAGTGCAGGGAAGGTAAGGGAAAACAAAAGGAAATATTTTGGTTGAAGACACCAGAAATGGAGTAAGTAGTAATGGTGAACTTTAGGTTCTTTAGTAGTTCAAAGTTTGTTTTATAATAAGTGGTTGTGACACTTTTTCACAAACGTTTTCAGTGGAAGAAGAGAAAGGTGGGCATGTATCTCCATTGGTGGCCAAGAAGACGTAGTCAGTGAGAGGAAATGTGAATTGCCTGCAGTAATATCATCACAAAACATTTTAAGTGCCCAATGTATGTATCAGCCCTCTTAGGGGCTGATGATACAAAATGGTACAAGACAAGAAGATTATAAAATAGTTGCAAAAAAGGGGGAGTATACATTCTGGGCAGGTAGGTAGCTATCCACTGATAGAGCTCTAGGCCAGAAATCAGAAAGAACTGAGATTTAATCTAGTCTCAAACACTTATTAGCTGTGTGACACTGGTCAAGTCACTGAACCTCAATTTGTTTCAGTTGCCTCACCTGTAAAATGGGGATAATAATAGCACCTAACTCCTAGGCTTGTTATGCAGATCAAATGAGATAATAATTGTAAAGCATTTAGCTCAGGGCCTAGACTCAAGAAGACTCATTTTTGTGAGTTCAAATCTGACCTCAGACACTTACTGGCTATGTGACTCTGGGCAAGTCACTTAACCCTGTTTGCCTCAATTTCCTCATCTATAAAATGAACTAGAGAAGGAAATGGCAAACCACTCTAGTATCTTTGCCAAGAAAACCCCAAATGGGGTCACAAAGAGTCAGACACAACTGCCACAACAGCTGGTACATAATTAGTGTTATATAAAAGTAGTAGTAATAGTAACTATTACCTAAAGAAAGAAAAACCCAAAAAACATGATGCAACAGAATGAACAATGAATTTGGAGTGAGAGAAGTTGAGTCTAGGCCTCACATGTGTGACCTTGGGCAAGTCATAATCTTCCTGGAAGTTAGACTAGATGAATGAATGATTGAAGGAAGAATGAAGGAAGGAATGAAGGAAGGAATGAATGAAAAAAGCATTACTTAAGCTCTTGCTATATGCAAAGGACTATGCTCAGCATGATAAATATAAAAGTAAAATAGTCTTTGCCCTTTAAAAAAAACCAATATTAAGTCAGTACATATGGGCAATTGGTGGCCTTCTGGCTAAGTGAACCTATTGTCAGAACCGAGGCTCAGGTGGGATTAGTCTGTACTAGAGCAGAGTCTGTGTGACCCTGGGCCGTGTCATTCAACCCTGTTTACTTCAGTTTCCTCATCTGTAAAATGAGCTGGAGAAGGGAATGGCAATATTCTTGCCAAGAAAATGAGGTCACAAAGAGTCAGACACACCTGAACCAACTGAACAACAACATGCGATATGTGTCAGTCTCTGAATTTAATTCAACAAGAATCTATCATTCATCTCCTGTATTATGTGCAAACCACACCCAGTGGGGATAGAAAGACAATAATGGGACAGCCTCTGCCCTCGCAGAGCTCATATTCTGCACAGCCCAAACTACGTGCACACTGATAAATAAATGTAAAATATATTTAAGTAAATAAAGGCTATGGGGGGCATTTAAGAGAAAAGCATTAACAACTAAAGGAATAAGGAAGGGAAGGCCTCTCGTAGGAACTGACATGAGCTAAGCTTTGGAAGGATCTAGGGATTCCAAGAGATAGTTTTATACAAGGAAGAGCTGGCAAGCCTATTTGACTGGAATACAGGGTACCTGAGGAGGAGGAGTGTGAAATCTGCTTGAAAAAAGGTCAGAATCGGAATGTGAAGGGCTTTAAATGCCAAAAAGAAGAGGTTGTATTTTTATCTTAGAGAAAACAGGGAACCACTGAAGTTTCTTGAGCAGCAATATGGCATGGTCATATCCTTGCTTCAGGAAGATCAAATTAAAAGCTGTGTGTAGGTTAGACAGGAAAGGGAAGAGACAGAGTCCAGTTGGGAAGCTATTGCAATAGGCTCCAAAATTAAATGTTTTGGTATATGATGTTGAAAGGCAGCAGGGCTACCCAGTCATGGAAATTCAGTATATTTAAGGGTCAGAGGCCAAGCATATTAACAATAATAAATATATATTAAACACCTACTATTTGCAGAGCACTGGGGCACATGTGAAGTTTAAATAAAGTTTGATCCCTACTTTAATGGAATTTAGAGTCTCCAAGGGAGGTAAGATACAAACACAGACAATCATAATTGAATAATTATAATATTATAGTGATAAAAGAATTAGTTACCTACTCCCTACCCCCAAATGTGCTGAGGGAGTTCTGAAAAAATATAGAGGGTAAAACTGGAGACTACATGGAGGAAATAATAGATTTAGAAAGCTGTTTAGGAAGTCAACAGATAAGGAAAGGAAAGGAAAGCCTTCCAAGCTTAAGGGACAGAAGGAGCAAGGATAATGAGGCATGAGAAGTAATAAGGGGAAAGGATAAACCAAATTTCCTGGTGAATGGAATAAAAGAAGAGTAGTGTAGGGGTTGGAGAAAGTCAGAAAGAAGGACAAAGTGATACCAAATCATGAGAAGGCCTTGATGAGCAGTTAGAGGAGAATGAATTTCACTCAGGAGGCGATTAAAGATTTTCGAGGAGTTTCATGACAAAATCTTTACCTGAAGAAGAAAAGTTATTCTGACAGTGTGAATTGTATGAATTGGACCAAGAGATATTGCAAATAGCTGAAAAACCGAGACACTAAGAGGTATTAATCCAACCACTTGGAGACTGGGCCATAAAGTTCAGATGAAAAGACTCAAGATAAGGCTGAGGATCCCTCACCCTGACTTGAGAAAACATTGAGAAAAAACAAATTCTCTAAAAATTTATTCTCTATCTTTGCAGAAACCAGTATTCATGTGTTCATTCAGTTAGCTATTCTTTGTAGCTAATTTATTTCAGATTTACTCTCTGCTGTTAGCATGTTGGGTTTTTTTTTAATACATTATGAAATATTTCAGTACTTGAATGATCTGTGATGTGTCTGGGATAGGTATTCTCTCCATTGATACAGATCTCAAGGTCACTGCAACTTAATAGATCACGTGAGAGAATTATTACGGTAGCAAACTCAACCTCTGTGGCTGACCTAGTAATGAGTGTCTTTGGGCTTAGATAGAATGATCCTTGGACAGCAGGCATATGAATCGTCCCCAAGTTGATAAAGACATATTGTTGAAATCTATGTGCTTTACAACTGCATGGTGAATTTCAATGTGGATGTTTTGTGTAGGTGGTTCTGAAAGGAAGCAGAACAACGAGTCAACAAACAGATGAAATGATTAATAGCCTTGGGTACTGTGCTCAGGAGAATGCAGTATGGCAAAACCTTACAGTGAGAGACCATCTGGAGGTCTATGCTGCAGTGAAAGGGCTAAAGAAGGAAGATGCTATGGTCACTATTTCACGGTATGGTAAAAAGGGAAACTGCACCAGTTTTCTAGAGGAGGAGACAGGCCAGAGTAGGGGTGGGGAAGCTGAGGCCTCGAGGCCACCTGTGGCCTTCTAGGTCCTCAAGTGCAAACCTTTGAATGAGTGTGGCCCCTTGAACAGATTCTGTCAAAAGCCACACTTGAGGACCTAGAGAGCCACAGGTGGCCTCGAGGCCTCAACTTCCCCACCCCAGTCTAGAGTTGTAACAAGGGTAAGCAAGAGACGTACTTGCCTTGGGTATACAAAACTAAGTAGCACAAAATGTTTTTATCTTTTTTTAAAAATGAAACTTACTGTTTTTTTTAGTGAAAAGATTAGGTTTTTTAATTTTTTTAATATAAAGTTGTTTATTTTTAGTTTTCAACATTCACTTCCACAAGTTTTTGAGATCCAATTTTCACCCCATCTCCCCCTTCCCCCACCCCAAGATGTCATGCATTCTGAATATCCCTTCCCCTAGTCTGTCCTCTCTTCTATCTTTCCCCTCCCCTTCTCTTATCCGCTTCCCCTTCTATTTTCCTGTAGGGCAGGATGGACTTCTGTACCCCATTTCCTATACTTCTTATTTCCCACTAGCATGTGAAAACATTTTTTTAGAAACATATGTTTTTAAAACTTTAGGTTTCAAATTTTCTGTCTTCCTCCCTCCCCACCCACCCTCATTGAAAAGGCAAGCAACTCAATATAGGTTGTACATGTGCAGTTATGCAAAACATGCCCATAGTAGACACGTTGTGAAAAACTAACTCTATTTCCCTTAATCCTATCCTGCCCTCCCATTTATTCTATTCTTTCTTTTGACCCTGTCCCTCCTCAGAAGTATTTACTTCTGATTACCCCCTTTTCCAATCTGCCCTCCTCTCTATCATCCCCCTGCTCTCTTGTCCCCTTCTCCCCCTATTTTCCTGTAGGGTAAGACAGATTTCCATACCCAATTGAATGTGTATGTTATTCCCTCCTTAAGCCAAATCCTATGAGAATAAGATTCACTCATTCCCTCTCACCTTCCCCCGTTTCCCCTTCTACTATAAGAGACTTTTCTTTTCTCTTTTTTTTTGTGAGATAATTTGCCCCATTCTACCTCTCCCTTTCTTCTTCTCTGAGTATAATACTCTCTCTCATCCCTTAATTTTATTCTCCATGTATGACCCCTTCATCTTCAGCTCACCCTGTGCTCTCTATCTATCTATCTACATATACATACATATAATTTTTTTCCTCCAACTACACTGATACTGACAAAGGTCTCATGAGTTATAAATATCATCTTCCCATGCAGGAATGTAAACAGTTCACTCTTAATAAGTCTCTTATGATTTCTCTTTCCTGTTTACCTCTTCATGTTCCACTTGAGTCTTGTATTTGAAAGTCAAATTTCTTATTCAGCTCTGGTCTTTTCATCAAGAATGCTTGCAAGTCCTCTATTTCACTGAATGACCATTTTTTCCCCTGAAGGATTATACTCAGTTTTGCTGAGTAGGTGATTCTTGGTTTAATCCTATGTCCTTTGCCCTCCAGAATATTATATTCCATGCTTTGCGGTCCTTTAATGTAGAAGCTGCTAAATCTTGTGTTATCCTGATTGTGTTTCCACAGTACTTGAATTGTTTCCTTCTGGCAGCTTGTAATATTTTCTCCTTGAGCTGGGAACTCTGGAATTTGGCTACAATATTCCTAGGAGTTTTCCTTTGGGGATCTCTTTCAGGAGGACATCTGTGGATTCTTTCAATTTCTATTTTGCCCTCTGGTTCTAAAATATCAGGGCAGTTTTCCTTGATAATTTCTTGAAAGATGATGCCTAGGCTCTTTTTTTTGATCATGGCTTTGAGATACTCCAATAATTTTAAAATTCTCTCTCCTGGATCTATTTTCCAGGTCAGTTGTTTTTCCAATGAGATATTTCACATTGTTTTCTAATTTTTCTTTTTTTGGATTTGTTCTACTGTGTCGTGATTTCTCATAAAGTTACTATCTTCCTATTGCTCTATTCTAATTTTTAAGGAAGTATTTTCTTCAGTAATCTTGTGGACTTCCTTTTCCATTTGGCCAATTTTTCTTGTTAGGGCATTTTTCTCCTCATTGGCTTTTTGGACCTCTTTTGCCACTTGGGTTAGGCTATTTTTTAAGGTGTTATTTTCTTCAGTATTTTTTGGGGTCTCCTTTAGCAAGCTGTTGACTTGTTTTTCATGATTTTCTTGCATCACTTTCATTTCTCTTCCCAGTTTTTCCTCTACTTCCCTTACTTGCTTTTCAAAATCCCTTTTGAGCAATGAAACTTATTATTATTAAGTACAGGAAAGTATAATTTTATATACTTACCTTGGGTTCACTTAGGTTCACTGCTTTGGGACAAGGATGAGAACATGATATTACTGCTTTCCACATAAAACTAGGCATGAAGATTTTAAATTATGTTCCCAAGTTTTGCTAGATCATAAGTGATCGATCTGAGATTGATCCTGTTTCATTGTATCTCAATTCATTGATCATTGTTACAAAACCTAATAGAAAATAAACTCTGAAATATGAAATTAATCAATCAAGGCACACTGAAATGAATGCTTGTGATGTTAATAAGAAGCAAATTACAACAACAACAAAACTCCTCTCTTGTTCCTTAAATGAATCACTTCATGATAACCAGAGCTGAGACTTTCTTCTACATTGTATTACTCTGTTTTCTGGATATATTCTTCCAATGTCCACCATTGGCCAAAGAGCCTGATTCAAAGCATTTTTCCTTTTAAAATTTAATTTTCAATAATGATCATTTATTTTCTCTCCTACTCCCATACTGACAAGAAAATTAAACCTTGTTACAAACATGAAAAATAAAAGAAAACAAATCCCCACATTGGCCATGTCCAAAAGCATAAGTTTTGTTCTTTATCTTGAGTCCTCTTTGTCAGGAGATGGGTAGCATGCTTCATCACTGGTCATTGAATTTATCAGAATTATTAAGACCTTCAAAATCATTTGTCTTTACAATGATATTACTGTATAATTTTTTTCTCATGATTTTGCTCATGACTTTACTCTGTGTTTATTTATATAAGTCTTCTCAGGTTTCTCTAAATCCATCCATTTCATCAATTCTCATATGATTTCTTATAACAGTATTTCACTATGTTCATGTATCATAATTTGTTCAGTCATTCCCCAAATCATGGGCATCCTCTCATTTTGAGGTATGTTACACATTTCCTCATTTCTTATATCTCTTTCAAGTATAAATCTAAAAGTGATATTGTTAAGCCACAAGGCATATGCATACTTTAGTGACCTGTTGAGTATAATTCAAAATTGCTGTCCAAGATGGCTGGACCATTCACAACTCCAACAACAATGCATTACTGGCCCATTTTTCTGCAATGCCTCCCACATTCATAATTTTTTTTTTTTTGGTCTTCTTGGCCAATCTTATGGATGTGAGGTAGAACCTCAGAGTTGCTTTAATTGACATTTCTCCCATCAATGTATTTTCTATCAGATTAAAGGATGCTCTCAAACTTCAGGAGTACATGAAGGTTCCAGTCAAGGACTTGCCAACAGGCATAACTCGAAAGGTACGCAATGTGCTTGGTATTCTTTTAAACATTGCTATGGTGAGGATAGTGACTAATTATGTTTCTCTGCATTTTAGTTGTGCTTTGCTCTGAGTATCCTGGAAAATCCAGCTATCATGCTTCTGGATGAACCATCAACTGGAATGGATCCAGAAGGGCAGCAACAAATACGGTGAAGAGAATTATAAGAAACTCAATAACAAATAAAGCCTGTTTAGAATTTAATCTTCTCATTGATCCTATGAAAATTAAGCATTATAAAAGCTCAATTTCCAGATTAATTCTAACTGGTCTGCTCTATTGAAACATATTTAGCACCAAAGGTTTCTCTGATATTTCTGACCTAGGTATCATTCAGAAATAAATAGCCCATTAAATAATCCATCCAAGGCCCCAATAAATTTCCAAGGATTTCATTGCTTTTTCCAGTCTTCTATATTACAAGTTTATTTTCATTATTTTTATTAATTCAATATTTCTCTTTTTTTTAACTCAACTTCTGCCTTCTTCCCAGAGAAACTACCCTCATTAACTATTTTTTTGTTCAACCCAATTCCTTCAATTCATGCATCTCTATCCTTACTGGCTCTTTGCTACTCTACCATTTTTTCCTCTCCAGGAACATTCTTCCCTTTATCTGATCTTAATTGTCCAAACAACTATATTATCTGTGACCATTCCAATTTCTTTTGTCAAGTTTTATGGAAACATTAGTGTGCTTCTCCTGATTGCATGTGTTTTCTTGACTTCACTACAGGCAGGCTATTAGAGCATTGTTTAAGAAGAAAGAGAGTGGTGGTATTCTGACTACACATTACATGGCAGAAGCTGAAGCTATGTGTGACCGAGTGGCCATCATGGTATCAGGACAGCTACGGTGGGTGAATGTTCCATTATAATTTTATAAGCAAGGATGTAACAAAATAAGACAGTCTTCTGCCACTCTGCTCATCTCATGGCAAGTAGATCTGTTGCCCTGGTATAACAATGGGACCTTATCCTCACCATTCACAGAACAAAAAGTAATAGCAATAGGTTAGGTGGCAACTATATTGGGGTTTTTTTAGCTTCTCTCTCTCTCTCTCTCTTTCTCGGTTTCTCTGTCTTTCTCTCAGCGTCTGTGTCTCTGTGAGTCTATCTCTGTGTCTCTGTCTCTGCCTCTCTCTGTCTGTCTGTCTCTCTGTCTCTGTCTCTGTCTCTGTCTGTCTGTCTCATATGCACATCTTCTCCTATTTCCCCTACTCCAGATGCATTGGTTCCATCCAACATCTGAAAAGCAAGTTTGGCAAAGATTATTTACTGGAAATAAAAGTGAAAGAACCTGGACAAGTGAGACATCTCCATGAAGAGATTCTGAAGCTTTTTCCAACAGCAGCAAGGCAAGAAAGGTAAGGGAAGTTTTTTTTTGTTTCCCCTGTGATGGCAAAAGTAAGTTTAATCCTCTTGTCAGTTTTTCTTGTTTTGTGGTGTGTCAAAGAAAAAAAAGTGAATACTTTACTCTGCATTTTAGGCACAAGGATGCCAGAATTTTAAAATTAATTTAATATTACTTTAAATCCAAACATTTCTGTCTTAAAGAGAGAAATATCCAAAGTGACACAGTCTAGCTATTTCTCTACCTCAAGAAAATGTGAAGTAACTTTTATAAGAACAAGGAAAAGGCCACATGTATGAAAATAAAGTTTTGGTTAACATGCTATTTCAACAATAGAATAATAGTCACTTCAAAACTACTCAGTTCCTTCTTGATCATTTCCCAGGAGTAATCAAAGGGACTTCCCTGAGACCTTAATCCTTTCTGAATGGAAAATACAGTGGTCTTAACTGTAGGAGAGGTATTGATCTTGGTTACCATTATTAATCCATATTCACTTTGCATACTTTGCTAAAAGCAAAAATTTAGAAGGGACTTTAGACAGAGAAATACTTACTTTGTAACATTTTAGGTGAAGTTTTTCATACATTTCCATATAGTGCAATTTGAGCCATGAGGGACAATCATACAATAGGACCTAGAGAGTTCAGTTTCTCTGAGAGAAAAGAAAGGAACAAAACAACTGTTCTAGAAGCCAACGCTGAGATTTCCTAGGAGGCCAACATGGGAGGTGTCAACCCTCGCCACTCTGGATATAAACCCCAAGCAGAACCCAACCTGTGAGAGTTTTTGCCACCCAAAAGATGAAGGAAAAGATGGCTGGAAGAGTGAAAGAATTTGTCAGAGAAAAACTAAAGAAGAAGAATAGAAAATCAACTAAGTTCTTAGGATCACTGAAAATGCAATGTAGGAATAGGGTATGTACTGCAGTATAGAATGTGAAAGTATCTTGGGAAGGAAGAAACAAAGAATCATCATATTTCCTGGGAAAAGAAACCTATATAATGAATAGTCAATAATGTTAAATATTCAGATCATTAAGAAAAAGACTATTTTTTACTTGCAGAAAGAAATATCACTAGAAAAATGTCTTGTTTATGGTAGGTGCTTAATAAATACTTAATTATTATTGATCTCTTTTGTTTTCATATCAGCTATATTTTATGCTGTATATTTCCACTCCCCCATACTTGCCCAGAGAGTCATCCTGTATATTAAAGAAGAAACAAAATTTAGCAAAACCAACCAACCTACCAAAAGTTAAAACAATTAATTAATAAGCACTATGTAATAGGTATTGTGCTAAACATTGGTAATACAATAAAAAGTAAGAATAGTCCATGTTTTGAAGGAACTTATATTCTAATGAAGCAGACTATACATATATACACACACACACATATGTAATTATGCATATATGTATATAATTATGCATATATACATATATGCTACATATGTATATGTGTGTGTAGGTATATGATACCATTAACTATTTTTTTCTGTGTACTCTCTCCTCTGGGGCAGCTAAGTGGAGCAAGGGTTAGACCTGCGGTCAGGAAGACTCATCTTTGTGAGTTCAAATCTGGTCTCAGATACTAGGTCTGTGACCCTGAGCAAGTCACTGAACCTTATTTACCTCAGTTTTCAATCTGCACAGTGAGTTGGAGAAGGAAATGACAAACCACTCCAATTTCTTTGCCAAGAAAACCCCAAAGGGGTCACGACTGAAAAACAACTAAATAGCAAAACCTCCTTTCTGGATTTTCATGATACATTATTTCTTAACATTTTAGTTGAAGTTTTTCATGTATTTCATACATTTCCATATAGTGCAGTTTGAGCCATGAGGGATAATCATACAATAGGACCCAGGGAGTTCAGTTCCCTTGAGAGAAAAGAAAGGAATGAAACAATTGTTCTCATGATATATATTATTGTATGTGTATGTATAAATATATATATATATATGTATATATATATATGTAGTGTGTATATGTATATATGTAAGCATATGTATATGCACACATACACATACACACACATATATATACGTATAGCCATGGAAAATAAATGCATAATATATAGAAGATATCTTCATAGGAAAGGGCACTAATAGCTCAAGGGACAGTGAAAGACCTTCCTGAAAAGATGAAAACACTAATGATAGAGATGATAGGTAGATAGAGAGAGAGAGACAGATAAGCACACAAATAGATAGCATTTGTGTTGTGCTTTAGGGTTTACAAAGCACTTTACAGTATGTCAGTCTGTCAATAAAATTTATTAAGCACATACTATGTGCCAGGTACTGTGATAAGTGCTTTATTTTCTCATTTGATTTTCACAACAATCCTGGGAGGTAGGTGCTGTTATTCTCCCCACTTTACACAGGAGGAAACTGAGGCAAACAGCCAAATGGAGGCAAAGTTCTGGAGAGATAGGCTTGAGAAATGCTTGTTTTAATTAATAAATAAAAGAGTTTATAGGTGATCCTACATCAATTGTTTTTTAAAAAAATTTATTTTATTAATTTATTTTGATTTATCAACAATCACTTCCATATGCTTTTCAGTTTTAAATTTTTCCCCGCCTTCCTCCCCACCACCCTCCCCAAGATGGCGCACAATCTGATATATGCTATACATTTACATTTCTATTAAACATATTTTCACATTAGTGAAGTTGTAAGTACAAATTCTCACTAGTGTTTTGCTTTTGAGCACCACCTCCCTCAGTCCCTCCCTCCCTTTCCCTTTTCTTCCCCTTTAGCCTTACTGCTTCTTCCCTCCCTTCTATTCCCCCTCCCTTTTCTTTCCCCTTTTCCCTCCTACTGCCTATAGGGCAAGTTAGATTTCTATACCTAACTGATTATGTTATTCCCTTCTTGAGCCAAATCTGATGAGAGTAAGGTTCAAACAATGCTCACCCCCTCCCTTCTTTCCCTCTGCTGTAATAGGATTTTCTGTCTTTTCCTGTAATGTAATTTACCCTTGTCTGCCTCCTCCTTTCTCAGTACATTTTCTAAGATCAGACTAATCCACTTACTTGGATCCATTTAACCCACTTGATTAGATTTTTTTTATCATTACATCAAAGTCAACTAATATCCACCCCCTTTATGTATACTCCTTTAACATGGTGTAATAACAATACAGTTCTCAAGAGATGCAAGTGTCATCTTCCCTTGTAGGGATGTAAACAGTCCACCCTTATTAACAACATATTGTATCTTTCTGTCCCATTTACCTTTTATGTCTTTCTTGAATCTTGTACTTGAAGATCAAATTTTTTGTTGAGCTCTGGTTTTTTCATCAGGAAGGCTTGGAAGTCCCCTATTTCATTGAATATCCATTTCCTCCCTTGAAAAATCATGCTCATTTTTGCAGGGTAGTTGATCCTTGGCTGCAATCCAAGCTCCTTTGCCCTACAGAATATCATGTTCCACACCCTGTGGTCTTTTAATGTAGAAGCTGCAAGGTCCTGTGTAATCCTGACTGTGGTTCCATGATATTTAAATTGTTTCTTTCTGGCTGCTTGCAGCACCTTCTCTTTCATCTGGTAATTTTGGAATTTTGCTATTATATTCCTTGGCATTGTCAATTTGGGATCTCTTTGAGGTGGTGACCGGTGTATTCTTTCTCTGGTTATTTTACCTTCTGGTTCTAGGACCTCAGGGCAGTTTTCCTTTATGATTTCCTGAAAGATACTGTCCAGGCTCTTTTTTTCATCATGATTTTCAGGTAGTCCAATAATTTTTAAATTGTCTCTCCTGGATCGATTTTCCAGGTGGTTGTTTTACCGATGAGGTATTTTACGTTTTCATCTATTTTTTCATTTTTTTGTTTCTGTTTGACTGATTCTCGCTCTCTCATAGAGTCATTAGTTTCCATTTGTCCAGTTTGAGTTTTCAACAGATTGTTTATTCTGTTAGTTTTTCCTTCTCCAATTGGCCAATTGTATTTTTAAGGGATTTGTTTTCTTCAGTGTACTTTTTTTCCAGTTTGCCAATTGTGCTTTTTAGGGACTTGTTTTCTTCAGTGTACTTTTTTTCCAATTGGCCAATTGTATTTTTTAAGGACTCTTCTACCTCTCTCATTAGACTTTTAAAATCCTTCTTGAGCTCTTCTAAGAAGGCTTTTTGGGCTTCAGACCAGTTCATATTCCCTTTTGATGTTGCAGATGTGGGTTTGTTGACAATGTTGTCCTCTTCAGAATTTCTGTCTTGATCTTCACTCTTCTCATAATATGAATCTATGGTATGTTTCTTTTTACTCATGGTGTTTCTTTATTCCCTGGCCTTTAAAGAGATTGAGCTCTCCTGCTGGGGAACAGAGGGCACTGACCCAAGCTTCTTGTGTTGGGAGCCTAGGTCTTGGTCACTGGCTTTGTGTGCTGGGGCCTCTTATGTTGGCAATTGGAGGCTGTAGAGTTCTGGCAGCTTACCTTGTGTTGGGCTGGAATCAGCAAGGCTGGAACTTTCAGGCAATTCTAGGTTGCCTGCTTTTCCTTTCCTTTAGCTTTCTTCAGCTCCTTTTAGATGGGTGCTGCAGGGTGTTTATCTGCCTGGGGCCCCTTGCAGTGCTGCCTCCCTCATTTCTGCTAATGCACTGGGAGATTCCTTTGTGGTAGAGTGCCAAGGCACCTGGTGGTTTTCTGAGCTGGTTTCCACCAGTTCCCCCCACCCTTACTGGGGCACTTGGAGGTCCAGGTGTTGGTTTTTGTCTGCTCTACCACCTGGGCTTCAGGATCTCTTCCTGGTTGACAGTTGGAGGTTCTGACAGCTTACCTGGTGTTGGGCTGGAATCAGCAAGGCTCGGACTTTAGGAAGACTTTAGGTTGCTTTCTTCAGCTCCTTTCAGATGAATGCTGCAGGGTGCTTATCCACCCAGGGCCCTTTGTAGTACTGCTTTGCTTATTTTTGCTGAGGCACCGGGAGACCCATTTGCTGGGCTGTTGCACTGCTGTTTCCCGTCTTTCTTCTAGCTCAGCTGTTCCAGGGATTTGGTTGTTTTT